GATGCTGCAAAGAATGAGTGTCCCGATCCACTTGCTGCTGCTTTCCCCACCCTCTTTCTATATGGAATTGGGGGGCTCAAGGATGATCAGTTGACAAAGTTAAGCCTGCATGAACATTGTCAATGGGCATTGCAATATCATGACAAATGGTTTGCTACTCACCACTCATTCCCATTTGTTGTGTTCACTCTCATTCAAAAGTGGGATGTGATGCACTCAGCATGCCTTCAGATGCAATGAAAGGACTTTGAACAGGATGCATTGGTGTTGTCTTTGATCACCATCAATGACCTCAAAAAGGCAGAAGTTGAAGAGGCTAGACATCAATGCATAACAAATGCATGAGTCCATGCACTACACCATCATGTGACAGCTGCCAATGGCTGTGTTGAGGGCTCAGACAATGCTCACACATGATACCATGGCATGATTTGGGGAACATGTCTTGTGTTTGGCAGGCCATTGCTGTGGCTAATGATCAACCCTGTCAATATTCCCATTGTCCAGGTGTTTGTGGGTGAAGAGATTGATATGGACAACTTTAACTCCTCTCTGGGGCCTGACAGTAACTCCCATGTGGAGAATGTTGCTTCAAATCCATATGCTGCAGCTCTTTTTTTTCAACTTTATTATCCACTGGGTGTTGGATACTCTGTTTGGAATACAGAAGAGGGGTAGTCAGACAACTAGTCACATGGGGGTCCTCAGATGTCTCAGTGCATATTTTGGCATGGTAGAGGTGCAGGGCAGAGGTTTGCTTCATGTCCACATGCTCTTATGGCTGGCTCACACCCCAAATGCAAACAAGATGCAGGCCTTGTTGAAACAGGAGTCTTTTTGTGAACAGACTCACTCATACATCTCAACCAATATCTGTGCCCACCTCAATGACCTCACACCAAATGACATCATCAATATGCCCAGGGATCCTCAACTTGCATACTCTCGCCCCCCCAACCTGCATGTGTTAGCCTGGTCAGTCATCAATCATCAATTTGAACACTGGCTAGTCAGATCCCAGCAACTTCATTCTTGCTCTAGAGCAACATGTCTGTGCATGCACAATGGTGAACTCCTTTGCAAGAGAAGAGCACCCTGGCCTTTAAATGCCCAGGACTTCATCGATGAGCAAGGAAACTGGGGTCCAAGGCAGATGCATGGTTACATCAATGCATATTGCCCAACATTGTTAACAGTGATGCATTGCAACATTGACTTAAAAATCAACACCAATGGTGCTGATATGAAGGACATCAGGTTTTACATCACTGCCTATGCAACAAAAAAGCAAAAGAAGTTGCACAACTTGTCTGCATTGATGGCATCGACACTACCATATCACCATGAGAATCCTCGACATGATGATGTGTGAGAATGCAACCACTTACTACTGTACCACTGCATCAATGTGATCAATTGAGAGACAGAGTTTTCAGGACCACAGGTGATGTCATATCTCATGGGCTTCAGTAACAACTTCACATCTCACAACTACACCACCTTGTACACTGGTGCTTTATTCTCCTCTGTCAAAACTATGTTTCCTGAGCTTCGCACATCGAGCTCTGGCATGTAAGTTCATTGAGCTGTTGGACATTGGGCACTGTCCTGACTGCATTCATAGAGTCAGTCAAAACATCAATAGGTCCAGTGATGACACTAGTGACAACAACAATGTCATTACCCTCAGCTCAACCCCTGCCAGTGTTTTGTTTCCTTGCTTGCAAGTGCAGAACTATGTCTTTTGCAGGCTGGAGTTGGAGGACTTCTGTCTTTTGGCATTCATCACAGATACATGGGAGGAGCATTATACACAGTCTCAGGCCTGCCCACCTGCACCTTCTGTGCCCAAACATGGCCGGCCTGTGCATCTGCATTTGTACTATTCAGAGCAGCATCCAAAGTGGAAGTCACACCATTGTGTCTGTCATGCCAGTGAACACAACACATTGCCTCATCTGATTGGACCCTGGTTTCCCCATGCCAATGATGATGGCATTCATGATTATTTTCTGGCATGTATTTTGGCATTGTTGAAACCATGGCATCAGGCCTCCAACCTCAAGAACAATTTGGCATCATGGACTGACACATTTGAGGAGTTCAATGACAAAATGGAACCTTGGCACAGACATGTGGTTGCAGGGATACAATACTATTATGAGTCAAAGACTGCATGCAAATCCTCCCCCTCTGATCACAATGCTGGGCCAAGATCACAGGGCTTCCCAGAGGCTGAACAGCTGTTGGATTGCATTGGCAAATGGGATAGTCATGAGAGTCTTACACTGACAGAGGAAGACCTCAAGAACTTCTGGAGAGAACAAACATCTGCTCAAGAACAGAAACATGCAATGGAGGCAATTGACATTGGCACATGCAAAGGAGTGTTCTCTATCAACACATCTCTCTCTTGTGAACATTCCTCTTTGTTTCATATTGCTTCTGTGCAAGACCAGGAGCTGCTCATTCTGTGGCAAAGGGAAATGGAGGCAATGGTTGCCAAATGTGGTGTGACATTGCTCACCTTGCCATCTGATCCTCTGAGAGACATTGGCAGTGTGGATGCCAATGATGGAATGCTCCTTGGTGATAGTGGAGGTATGTACTTGCTTGCCCAACTCATTGAAGAATCGACTGTGCTGTGGCTGGCTGACCTGGATGATCTATTGCAAGACCAACACTGTGCATACAACATCGTAAACTGGCACCTAGAACAGTTCTTGATGGGAGGCAATCCAGATCAACTGCAAATGATCATACCTGGAGAGGGTGGCATTGGTAAATGAAAAATGATTCAGACCATCACTGAGAACTTTGTGCAATGAGGCATGGCAGGGATGCTAGTGAAGGCTGCCTACACAGGCATCATGGCATCTGTCATAAATGGCAAGACATTACACTTCATAGGTTTGTGGCATTTTCATCTGCACTACTATGCTCTCTGCTGATGATGTCTTTGTCTCCTTAGGCATGGTCCCACTCAATGGCAGTAAACAATCAGCACAGACTCTGAAGGTGTTGGAGTTGTATTGGTGGGATAAGCACTATCTGATCATCAATGAAATCTCCATGGTTTCCTGGGAGTTCCTCACCAAACTTTCAAATATCATCTGTCAGGAAAGGTTGGCATGTATGGGCATTGCATCTGAGGAGCCATTTGGTGGGTTGAATGTCATCCTTGTAGGGGATATCCATCAATTTCCTCCTGTGGCCTCCAAAACATCTGCACCTCTTTACTGGCCTTGCAATCTTGCAAAGGATACAGAGGATCAGGTAATCAGTCAACAGATCTTTGAACAGTTTGACATTGTCATATGACTCAAGACTCAAGTGCAAGTGACTGATGCCAGATGGATGGATCTCTTGCATCATGTGCATCACAGTAACTGTAAGGACCATCACCTGTCAATGCTGTGAGGGCTGGTGCTCTCTGACCCCCATTGTCTGGCAACTGACTTCTTGCAAGCACCTTGGAGAAACACTGTGCTGGTCACACCTCAACATGCTGTGCACATGCATTGGAATTTGATGTGCACTCAATCTTGGTCAGGGGACCTCAGGTCCTATCTGGTTGTTTGCCCTGCATGGGATTCCATAGCCAGGCATCTGCTGTCATTGCCTGAGAAATTTGCTGTGGCTACTAAACTGAAGACTGGCTGTGCACAAAACAGGCAGGAACATGCTGGGCTGTCTGATGAAATCAAGCTTGCCATCAGAATGGAGGTGATGGTCACCTTTAACATCTTGACTGACCTAGACATGGTGAATGGTGCACAAGGCCATATTGTGGACATTGTCCTCAACCCCAGAGAATGTGTGCAACCTTCTCCATCACATCAGATTGTGTTGCAGTATCTGCCTGCTTTTGTCCTGTTAGAAATGAAGCACACCAAGGCAGGGTCCCTCCCAGGTCTGCTGTCAGGAGTACTGCCCATCATGCCTCTTTCAAGAACTTTCACCATCATGATGACTTCTGGCAGCAAGTGTACAGTGACACAGATCCAACTCCCTATCATGCCTGCATTTGCTTTCACTGATTACCATGCACAAGCACAGACAATTGAGTACTGCATTGTTGACATTGGTTCCCCCCCCCCCACAGGCAAAATCACCCCATTCAATGCCTATGTTGCTCTTTCCCATAGCCATGGTCAGGAGAACATTCAACTGCTAAGAGACTTTGACGAATGACTATTTATGCAACACCCCTTTGAGCACTTGCACAACAAGGATTGGCAGCTGGAAAGGATGGATGGTGCAACTGAAGCTTGGTGGGATCTTATTGACACTGGTGTGGATGCATATCAAGGAGGTGCCTGTGGCTGCACAGCTTGTGTAATCTGCCATCTGGATCTCTAATCTTCTGCGTACAAAGATGTATGTTATATGGGGTTGTAGCACCATGGGCGGTGTCACGGGCCTCTAATCATCTACCCGCGAAGACGCGTGTTTTAGGGCGTTGTGGGGTTGAATATTGAGCTCAAGCGCGAACGCGGTAAACAAGGTGCCTGCCGTGCGAAACGGCCTTATTCTGGTACGGATAGGGAAATGTAATGGTCAAGATACGCAGGCGACAGTCGTCACCTTTGTAGCACATATTGTATTTTGTCAAGCAATGGAAACTAATAGGATTAGAAATCTTTATATAGGAATTTCCAAATCCTGTTTTCGGCATTTGTCCATCACATTCGTCCTAATATTGTTCTGTCTTTATCGATGGTGGTTTTATTTGTTGCATTGTCGGGTATACGTTCTCAATCCGTTCTCTGTCCCCCTTGGCACGGTGGAGGCAGTTTATGGTGCTAGGCGTTAATCGGCATATTGATGCCAGGATAACCCTTATACTCGTATCGGCGAAAGGAGAACGAGCCTGATTCGTACGTGAAGACATTCGCGACCTAATATAGAGTTCGAATAATATGGACGGTTGAAAGCCGCATTGAGGAGTACTTGTGAAATGACCTGGTGTAATCAGAGGTATGGTAATTTCATGGCGGCTAGACTGCCCAATAGACACTGATCTTTGCCTTCTCCGCGTACATTTGCCACCCCGGGAATCTCGCACTTGCCCACAGTACAATGCAATCTCCCACTTTCAAGTTACGCACGAAGCTCCCATCACCTGACAACCGACCTCGTCCGAGATCCTCGAGTGCGTGTTGATCCTCTGCAGAAATAGCCTCATCGATATGGCTCCACTCCACTGTATGGTGAGTTGTCTTGTACACCACATGTAAATTTCGCTGGAGCGATTTATCGTTTGAGATGGAAGGGCGGATTTGTTCATTCTGGTGGAACTGCACAGGTAATTTCACGTCCCTGGTTGCTTGCAACTTCTTTGCGTCTGTAAACACGAGCAAAGATGGCCAGGAGATATTCGCGATACAAGCGATCTCCGGATGTGGGGTCTCGAAGGAAGCGTCCCACCAGCTGAATGATCCGTTGTACGTTCCGCGGTCTAAGGCGCTGGAGGACCAGCCCTGGTCGTGGCTCCACAACTCAAACACGATCCGGCGGCATGGATGTAACCTGTGGTATAAGGAGAGGTTACTCCTTTCTAGGCCTGTGCCGAGGCGAATTTCCTTGGGTTCTTGAGGAGAAAAGACGAAATCACCTTCAGTTCCGGGCATTGCAAGGGGGAGTGTGCGCATATACATGCGATCCGCTGAGTACCGACTGTCTGCACAAGCAGGGTATTTTACTGTGACCGTGCTGTGAGTCCAGTAGCAAGCTTCGTCTAAGATTTTGTCGACAAGCTCATAGGGAAGGCGTAGTAGAAAATAAGATCGAACAGTGAGGATGTCTGGAACTGTTGGTTCGTATGTCCCCGTCGGGTTAGGTTGGAGCAAACTGGTAGAGTTAGGCGCTTGGGGTCTGAGAGGAGCGGTCGGGACGATTAACTTCGGGACAATACTGGACTTACGCCGGACGAGTCGAACTATTTTCGGAGTTGCGCTCGACAACCTGTCTGTCGGCATTGGTTTTTCCGACCATTGGGAGTGACAATAACGAGGAAAGGAACGAAAGGTTCGGGAGAAAGCGCAGCTTGGACAGGAGCGGCGGCGGCGTTATAACGTCAGGTATCCTGGGAATCCGCGGAGAAACGACGTCGCAAAATTATAGGAAGCCCGTTCCCTGATGGATGGAATCAGCGGTCCATAGAAGCTGTCTGGACAGATTCTTATCTGCCAGGCAGGATAGGCTGAACGGAACACCATGCAGCGTTTCAGCCACATGAGTCGAGAACGAGAACGTGAGACACACAGCTGACATCACCTCAATGGTGTGTAGAGCACGAACAAGAACCATAACAGTGTTATAACCATATCAACGAATCAGAAGGCGAGGGATGAGATAGGAGTTGATGTCCTGAGCCCCAGAAATTCCCCGTAAACACGAATCACCATGGAAGTGACTTGTGATCAGAAGGTCGTCCGCAGCGACGGCTGTTGGATGTGCTGCGTCCGAGCACTCCGCCGACAACTCAAAGCACGTAGGGGCGACCTACATCAAGAAGTTTAAATCATTGGACATGCTCGAAAGTGTGACAAACCAGGATAAACCGGTGGTTTGCATAATTGCCACTACCTAGCCCAACACAAGAACATGTGCTGGATCGAATTACTTTACACTGGCAGTTTTCCCGCATGAGCAACCTTTCAAGGCAGTCCAGGTCTGGGACAACCCTTGGCCCTTGAAGATCGCTGCGGTCCGAAGGTTCCTGTCAGACAAATGGGGAATGGAGGCAGGAAGAAATCGTGGGAGTGTGTTGGTCGTTATACTGGGACATGCGGTACCACTGCGGTTTCTGCATTGGCACACACGTGGTCTGGTTGTATTGCCACGATCAAATGGTTGATGAGTCGCAGCACGACATACCTTCAACTTGCCATGGAGCTTGACCTGTAAAAGGGGCCTCGGGGCGTCTGTCAGCCTCTGCTCCTCGTCAAGACCAATTATGGTGGGGATGCCTCCACATCGTCCGCATCGCAAGTCGAATTCCTGGCCTACTCGGTCCTGCGGCCCTCGCCTATGTTGGCTCCAAGGTCTGAGCAATGCTCTTCGAGGAGCCAGACCCCCGCTGGCTGAGGGTCTCCGTGTATTTATTTTCCATCTCAGCAGCGGCATGCAGCATCTACATCTACGTACGTGACAGGATGGAAGCAGCGCGTCGATGCGCTGTCCTAGACCTGCAGGTGAATGGTATGTGGTCTGATGGCCTGGTAGGACAGCCTGAACGAAACACTATATATGTATCGCTCGAGCTACGTGGTTCGAATTGGGTAGGGGGACTACCTGGCTTGCATGGAGAATGGAATTCGCGCAGCACATTATCTCAACCTGGTGTGTGAAACACGGAAAGGACCTACAAGAGTGTCACAACCAAATGAATGAATCAGAGGGAGAGAAACAAGAGAAACAATCCCATCTCATCAAAATCCGCGAGGGCAGTTAACGAACCCATGATGTCAGCGGCGTTCCAGGCCCGAGAAGTTCGCCGTACATACGAATGGCCGTCGCGAAAGTTACTTGCGATTGGAGTCTGTCACTTATCTGAGTCCTGTCGACCAAAAACTACCCACATTGGCTGCTGATAACTGCTAAGTCTACATGAGTGGGTCGATGATTCAAAGCTGTTCGATGGTGTGACAAACCAGCAACGTAATTCCCACTGCGACCTATCTCAACACAGGATGTGCCCATTGCTTTGCACCTGAAGGTTTCCTGCGACAGATGCAACGTTTCGAGGGTCCGGGGTGAACGTTGCGATATTTGAGCATGGCACGGCCTACCAACAAGAGTCCCAAGTATAGACAGCTGTGCAAGTTCCACCTCACGATTGTGGGACCTACTACATATACATACACCTACATTGGAAGCGACCGTGTCCAGTAGACGGGCCAAAATTACCTAGCTCTACAACGCCAGGCCCATAATAAGAGCTCGGTATAATTGTATTTTAGTGATCATGGTAATCATGATCCTGTCGGATGAAGGGAGATGCGGAGCCAAACTACACACCACAACGGTGTGCTTCCATCTACGAATGCCCGTTACTGTCATAGACTATGATCCACAGCGGGACACAGGTCAACCCTTCATAAATCGTTACCGTCAGTGACTAGCCTGCAGACCCCGGGCTATTACGCACTGAGTACTGATTACATAGTACATAGTAGTCTGGTGGTATTGTGATAGGGAATGTAAGTCGCGCCACTGGGACACACCTTCAACTCACGATGACCTATACAAGTACAAGGTGTCTCTGAGCGTCTGTCTACTTCTGCTCTTCGTGAAGAACAGCCATGGTTGGGATCCCTCCAGGCTTCATCTACATTGCACGTCAACTTCATCGCCTTGTCCGTCCTCTTGCTCTCGCCTATACGGGCCTTAGGATCTGGACAGTTCTGTTCGAGGAGCCAGCCCCCCACTGGCTGAGGGTTTCCGCGTATCTATTCTCCATCCCCATAGTAGCGGCATGCAGCGTCCTCTACACCTACCTACGTGACAGGAGGGAAGCAGCACGTCGAGGCGCTGCCCTTGCCCCGCGAGTGAAGAGTTTATGGCCTGGTGGCCTCGATATCATTCTCTCAATCACTCAGGACTTTCGGGATGCGCATATCGGTATGGCAGCACGGTGTCGTGTCTCTTGATTGCGTTCATGGTGGCTTTTGGCTCACGAAACACGATTTAGGATCACCGTTTGACCGATATTGTGAAGAGTATGGTCCCGTCGTCAATGTCAGGATCATGTTCGAGGATCAGGTTAGACTTCTTTTCAGTTCAGCCAATTTATCTGAAGTTGGGGATAGATTTTGACGACAGAACCCGAACATATCAAAGTATGGCGCCTTATCCTCACATAAGCGTCGTGCTGAGCAACTACCATCAGGCAGTTCTTTCTACGCAGTTCAATTCATTTGAGAAAGGCTTGTTGCTTCCTATGTCAACTAAAGTGCCTTTTTTTATACAACAGCCCCAGGTCCGGTGCTCTGGGACCAACTAAGCGCTCTACTTGGAACCGGAGTATTCAACTCGGACGGTACACTTCTTCTGCATTTTCCCAATCCGTGCCCGCTGACATCTTTACTCGGTTTGGAATGCAGGCGAAACATGGAAGTAAGCGCAGTTAACTCCATTGGCATAGATTGTCACGTGCAGATAATGAACTAGGTTCCATCGCTCGATGACACGACCGTTCTTTAGCAAGGACCGAATTAGTCACTTTGATATAATCGAAAAACACGCCGAAGATGCTCTCAACCAAGCAAAAGCCAGACTACAAGAGGGCTACCCCGTGAATTTCCAGGTACGTGATACCATAGCTCAGGGAATACCTCACTGACCAGCCACTAATGCAAGGATATGGTCTGTCGGTTCACCCTTGATTCGGCGACTGAATTTTTGTTGGGGAAATGTGTTCGTTCACTCTCCGCTGGACTGGTCTATCCAAAGAATTCGCTGCGAGGGCAAGACGAGGATTATAAAAATCACCCGTCGAACGTTTTCGCCCGTGCGTTCCTCAACGCGCAAACGAATGCCGCGTTCAGGAGTCGTCTCGGATCATTTTGGCGGTTGGCTGAGTTCTGGGGTGACTGCATCAAGAAGGAAATGGAAGTCTGCCACAAATTTATCGACCCCATCCTCAAGGAAGCCCTGGCAACAAGGAGATCAATGAACGAGAGAAAACAATCTACAGGACAGGCGCGCACGAAGGAGAAAGGGGTTCTTGAGGATACATTGCTTGGACATCTTATTAACTGCACTGACGGCAAGACGTTTATTTATTCCCCCCTCGGACTTACACTCAACAATCTGTTACAGATCCCACTGTCATTAGGGATGAGATCGTGAACATCTTGATAGCAGCACGTGATACCGTAAGTTACCTGGTTCATCATCCTCTTTGTTCGTTCAGTCCGAGTTGCCAGACAGCGTCTACCTTGACCTTCCTGGTCTACATGCTCTCTCAACACCCAGTCGTTCTGAAGCGGCTTCGTGCGGAGGTTGTCAGCACGGTTGGGAGTTGCAGAAAACCCACTAACGATGACGTGCGAGACATGAAGTATATGCGAGCTGTCATCAATGGTGTGTTATGTCGTTGTTTCGCGAGGGACAGTTGTCATATCCCGATGCACAGAAACTCTTCGTTTGTATCCTCCAGTGTAAATTGCCTGCTGGTCGTTTGATCCTTTTTTTCTGATGGCTTTTTTTTCTCAGCCCCTTCAACGTTAGGTTAGATTTAACTGATGTGATCAGTGCTCTAATCGTGCGCGCCTGACATGTTTTCTGCATTGTAGGACAAGTGTAGGAGCTGTGACATTACCTGGCGCGAATGGGGGTCCGCCTATCTATGTCCCACCCAAGACGCGGTCGGTGTTGCACCCACTCGGGTACGTGTGATCTACTGACACACGACAGAACCCCGTATTCTGTGCTCTTTATGCATCGTCGAAAAGATCTCTGGGGTCCCGACGGTCAGCCTGCCCCATTTACCGCTGAACGGCAACTGGGACTGATGAACTCACAGCTGAAGTTTTCGATCCAGACCGCTTCCTCGATGAACGATTGAAGTATCTAACGTCGAATCCGTTCATCTTTCTCCCCTTTAATGCAGGTCCGCGAATTTGTCTAGGTCAACAAGTGAGTCTTCTGTTTGGTTTTAACGTTTGTGATGTTGATCGGAACCTGTAGTTTGCATACAACGAGATGTCGTTTTTCCTCGTCTGCCTATTGCAAAGATTCTCTTCCATCACATTGGCAGAAGATGTCCAGACCCGACCTTCTGCAGGCTGGACCGAAGGAACAGGTCGCCATTCACAGGAAAAAGTGGTCATCAAGCATCACCTTACCTTGTATGTGGAGGTGGGTACAGGCTATTCCAGTTTCATACAACAAAGACAGTTGATCGTTGTGGCGTTTTTCTTCATCTAGGAGGGTTTATGGGTACGAATGGAGGAAGCTGGCGACGCTGACATTACATGATGTTGGATATCAGCCAAGAATGTGTAGAACCACCTGCTAGTGATAGACAACATTCTAGCATCAATCGTACTCTGTCAAAATCTCAGAAACCCACAACACTGCGGTTGCACTTCAGGGAGTAAATCCACCGTTACGCGTGCAGTGCGGTGCATAATACACAAGTTGCCTCGAGGGGAGGTAACAGGTACTTCTCCACAATGTAGGCGAGGTCCCCGACGGCAACGCCCCCTGTCGACCGTGACAGACATCGGTCCCACGACTCCGCAATAATACCAACAAATTGGCCCATGGGAGAGCAGGAGCAGGAGGGAACAGAGGAGGCATGGCGGCCATAGAGACCAGGAAAGCGGCGCAGGGCTCTAGTTTGAATAGCTGATATATAATCGCGGGCTCACAGGTCAGAATGTGAATTGGAAAAAAGGGAAGAACGTTTTGCGCGCGAAGGAATTAACATTTAACCATCGTCAAGGAGTCGAACCTCAATTATATCCTGGTGTCGGCCCGGTAGTAACGTAGCTTCCACGCAGCACTTCCTACATACCATGCTATCGTTGTTTCTAGGGTTGTTCACAGGTAGCACCGTCGGAGAACAAACCGTGCCCAAAGCAGCACGGGTTGACACCGACTCGTCCGACTCGCAGGCAGTGCAGTCAAAGAGTGTCATTCTACATTCGTTGAGAGGTTATGTTGACTAGCTAAGAACTGTTGGAAGGAAAGAAATAGACAAAGCACGCAGATTGGCGAGCACCAGCTCTTTCTGCGCTGCTAAGTTTGAAATATCAACACTCAACGTTCAGTTAGTTATGACTAGAGGGCTTACCTAGCTCTCCATCGCGGTCCGTCGGTACTTGGTAGGTCGGAAGTCAGAGTTCTTGGGGAGGGAGAAGTGTGGCACATTCGTATGGGACGAGTTTTCTCTGGTTTGGTAGTGCCTTTGGTTGGGAGCAAGAATGCACCGCCAAGGGCAAGAAGATCATCCCTGCACCTGTAGCTTGAGAGGGGTGATCATATGCACAGATCGCGATCTCTTGACTGACCCGACGAGTTCGGGCTCGTGTTCTACCTTCATTGAGGCGGCCTTGTCATCGTTTATTCTGCTCCTGCAGGCCCAAAACCCGCACGTAGCTTAGGAAACGCAACAAAGCGGGCTCGAACATTTGGCTTTTCTTGACTTCCGGCGCTGTGTCGATTTGAGATTCGTAACAAGACATTAAAGCTGCTCGGTGGATCCGCAGTCAGGATCGAGCTGTGCTCCTTGCGGAGTGAACAATTCAGAGGAGCTTTATTCCGAATGTATAGAGCTTGAATTCTATCCCAGTAGTTCGTGGAGTCAATGATCGCCATTTCGAGTCAAGGAGTCTGTGTGAACATAGCTCATAATAATGACTTCCAGATTAGACAGCTTACAAAGCAAGTACGTCACTCTGCTTCAACCTTCCCCTGCCCAGACATGCAGCACTCGCTGGTTTTCTCCTGCAGGGGGCGAAATCATTCACTGTAAGTGTGATTTGGTTCGTCTTGAGTAAGAAAAAACTAGGGCTGTACGTGGGTAAGGGTAACACCGTGGTATCTTGGCCACAGATATGGCGGGTACGGGTGTCCGTGCCAACATCATAAACCGCACCCGCTGTGTACGGGTTTTCGCAGATAAGCCCATGAATGATTCACTAGTTCATGGACAACGTTTTCAGGACATCTAAGCTGCTCAAGTTTGACTTTGACTTTACTTTGACTTTGCGGGTTGCATTATCGCAACAGCTTTAACCCACTAAGAAGAGAAATGACAAGCTTGGGCTACCGGAGCCCACGTCGTCATGCCTACTCCGTTTTTGTTTGTCAGCCTCAAAGACCACATCCGAAGGCCCCGTAGCATGTGACTATCATCGGCCCTTATGCTTCTTCGCAGAAGATCAAAACCGTCGGCACCCCCTTCCTGACAGATCTGATCATTTGCGATGATGCACGGAGCCTCGCAGGCCACTAACCCAGATCGCACTGACAACAGTGCAACTACCACTAATGAGGGTGATGGGGATGTGCACACCGTTTGGAAACTCGAGAAGGCTCGTCCCGATGGCTCCAACATCCCAAGACTGGGCTGTTTGCATAATGAATTACTCGCTCTCCTCTGATGCCCGCCACACCATTTATTTAAATTTTTCACTCCCTTCATAACGAATGCGGTTAAATCTTTAAACATCGTTGCTATCGGACCATCGTCGCCTACTTTCGTCCCGGGATAACGCAGATGGTGATCGGGAGAAAGAATGGATTTGCAGGGGTCGCAGCAGGACACACCTTCAACCCACATGACCTTTAGAATAAAAGGCGTCTCGGGGTGTCTGTCTGTTTCTGCTCTTCGTGAAGAACAGCCATGGTGGGGATCCCTCCAGGCTTCGTCTACATTGCACGTCAACTTCATTGCCTAGTCCGTCCTCTGGCTCTCGCCTATGCGGGCGTTAGGATCTGGACAATCGTGTTCGAGGAGCCAGCCCCCCGCTGGCTGAGGGTTTCCGTGTATCTATTTTCTATCCCCATGGCAGCGGCATGCAGCGTCCTCCACGCCTACCTACGTGACAGGAGGGAAGCAGCACGTCGACGCGCTGTTCTTGCCCCGCGAGTGAAGAGTATATGGCCTGGTGGCCTCGACATCATCCTCTCAGTCGCTCAGGACTTTCGAAGTGGGCACATCGGTATGTACGGCATGGTATCGTGTCTCTTGATCTCGTTCATGGTGGCTTTTTGGCTGACAAAACACGCTTTAGGATCACCGTTTGACCGATATTGTGAAGAGTATGGTCCCGTCGTCAATGTCAGGATCATGTTCGAGGATCAGGTTAGACTTCTTTGCAGCTCAGCCAATTTATCTGAAGTTGGGGATAGATTTTGACGACAGAACCCAAACATATCAAAGTATGGCATCCTATCGTCCTATAACCATCGTACTGAACAACTACCGTCAGGCAATTCTTGCTACCCAGTTCAGTTCCTTTGAAAAGGGTGGGATTCTGGATACATTGGCTAAAGTGTCTTTGTTTACACCGGTCTTAGGTCCGGTGCTCTGGGACCAAGTAAACGCTTTACTTGGAACTGGAGTATTCAACTCGGACGGTACACCTCTCACGCATTCTCCCAATCCACGCTTGCTGACGTCTTTACTCGGTTTGGAATGCAGGCGAAATATGGAAGTAAGCGTGTTGACTCCATTGGCATAGATTATCATGTGCTCATTCATACCATGAACTAGGTTCCATCGCTCGATGAAACGACCGTTCTTTAGCAAGGACCGAATTAGTCATTTTGATATATTCGAAAAACACGCCAAAGATGCTCTCAACCAAGCAAAAGCTAGACTACATGAGGGCTATCCCGTGGATTTCCAGGTACATGAAACCATAACTCAGGGAATACCTCACTGACCAGTCACTAATGCAAGGATATGATCTGCCGGTTCACCCTTGATTCGGCAACTGAATTTTTGTTGGGGAAATGTGTTAGTTCGCTTTCCGCTGGACTTGCCTATCCAAAGAATTCGACGTCCGGGAAAGACAAGGATTGCACAGATCATCCTGCAAACGCTTTCGCCCGCGCGTTCTCTGACGCGCAATCGAATGTCACGTTCAGGGGTGGTTTCGGCACGTTGTGGCGGTTGGCTGAGTTCTGGAGTGACCGCGTCAAGAAGGACATGGAGGTCTGTCACAGGTTCATTGACCCCGTCCTCAAAGTCGCTTTGCAAATGAAGAGATCGATGAAGGAGGCAGGGCAGGTGCGCACCGAGGAGAAAGGGGCTTTTGAAGATACATTGCTAGGACATCTCGTTAACTGCACCGAAGGTAAAGCATGTCTTCAATTTCCTTTGAAGTCGCACTCACCAATCTATGACAGATCCCATTGTCGTTAGGGATGAGACTTTGAACATCTTAATGGTAGCGCGTGATACTGTGAGTTGCCTGGTTCATCTTCGTTTTTATCTTTCCAACCCAAGTTGCCAGACGGCGTCTACCTTGACATTCCTGGTTTACATGCTCTCCCAACACCCGGACGTTCTGAAGCGGCTTCGTGCGGAGGTTCTCAGCACAGTTGGGAATTCCAGAAGACCAACTAACGAGGACGTGCGAGACATGAAGTATATGCGAGCTGCCATTAATGGTGCGTTACGTTGTTGTTTTGTGAGGGACAGTTATCACATGTCGATGTGCAGAAACTCTTCGTTTCTATCCTCCCGTGTAAGTGCCTGCTGGTCATCTGATCTCTTTTATCTTATGGCTTTTCTTCTCAGTCCATTCAACGTTAGGTTAGACTCAACTGCCGTGATCAGCGCCTTAATCTTGCGCGCCTGACATACTCTTTTACTTCGTAGGACAAGCGTAGAAGCTGTGATATGGCCTAGCGTGAACGGGGATTCGCCTATCTATATCCCACCCAAGACGCGGTCAGTGGTGCACGCACCCGGACATGGTATGATCTACTGACACCCAACAGGACCCTGTATTCTGTATTCTTAATGCATCGTCGGAAAGATCTCTGGGGTCCTGATGGTCGGCTCGCTCCCTTTATGGCTGAAAGGCGACGGAGACTGATGAACTCGCAGCCGAAATCTTCGATCCAGATCGCTTCCTCGATGAACGATTGAAGTATCTAACGTCGAATCCGTTCATCTTTCTCCCCCTTTAATGCAGGACCACGAATTTGTCTAGGTCAACAAGTGAGTCTCCTGCTTAGTTTTAACCTGCGCAATGTTGATCGGAACCTGCAGTTTGCATACAACTGAAATATCATTTTTCCTTGTCTGCCTATTGCAAAATTTCTCTTCCATCACATTAGCAGAAGATGTCCAAATTTGACATTCTGCAGAGTGGACCAAAGGAACAGGGCACAATTCACAGGAAAAAGTGATTGTCAGACATCACTTCACCATGTATGTTGATGTGAGTACTTCATTCCTGGAATCCTAGCTCCCTTGGACAATGCAAGCTAACTTGCATTTCCCTGCATCTAGGAGGGTCTATGGGTGCAGATGGGAGAAGCTGATCATGTCAATAATATGTGATGCTGGCACTTGCAAGAAATATGCAGATGCCCAGAGTCAGTGTTGTAGTAAAAATGGACTTCATTGAGCAAAGCATTTTCTCAGCCCCTATCTCCACATAACACAGTAATCAGTCTTGAGATGATATCCAGTTGGTACTGGTTTTGATAATAGGTCACTGAGATTCAGCAGCAGGACACCAGGCAGAACTTTTCTCATTGAGACTCAGGACACAGTCACTACATGAAGATCTAAACACTAGAGTGGCAAAACCCTTGCATTCCATTTGCCAAGCACCATGCTCTACCCAATGGCAGAGAAATAGTAGCACAACAAAAAGAAAGCAAAGATATGAGATCCCCTGACGACACAAGCCAGCAGTGCAATAGCAAGGTCATCGCGCCCCCGGAGGTGCAAGCAGAGCTCGCAGGGACAAGGGCGGCAAAAATTTGCTAACCAACTAAAGGGGGCAGTGCCCCCGTTACAGCGGTTATGCTGTAAAGAACAGATACTACACTTGATCTAAGCCAAAAGGCCAGAGTGGTAAGGATTTAGGGATGTCCAGTGCAAGCTTATATACGTTTTCAGGAAACGCACGGACCATCCCACTCAAAAGTTGCGGTGACTCGTGTACTTTCCTTTATTTGGAAGGTGCGATGTCCAAACTTAGAAAGTGCACCACCGCCACTATAACTGTCACAAAGTGGAATTACTTCTGCTCAAGCTCCTGGAATCATTAAAGGTTTCCCTCAATTAAACTCTCGATCACACCACCCGCAGTAAGTGGGTATTCCTTCAGGACCACCTCGCCATCGACAACAAAGGTATTCGGTTGCAACATCATCTTGCGCGGCTGCTTCATCTTCAACACCACATCTCGGATTTCTCCTAGCCATCCCGGTAACGGCGTCGTCAACTCGGTATAGAATTTCCTCGCGCCTGGACCATCCGCTGTGCTCTTGAGAACTTGTAGTTTGAGCAGAAGTTTTCCGACGATCGATCGTCCTTTGAGTACCTTTTCACGATCCACCTGAGAAAAGCATCGTTGATATCGTGTTTGGGATATTTAAGGAGGAGCACATACCCTAATGTAGACGTTCTTCAATTCGCCGTGCGATCCACGAACTTCCTCGAGGCGCACCAAACCCTCATTCATCATGAAATTCGTGATTCCTAACCTGGTATTGCAGAGAGGGTCAGCGTGTTCCGTGTTCATATCGAAAACAAACGGAGTTAAGTTTGCCCACCGAGCCTGCATATGAGCTTTACCATGCTATTTGGTGATCGGATCATAGAACTCAAGACCACACAGACCAGCACGTGCCACGTGAAGAAAGGTGATGAAGACGATGTCCTCTATTTCGTTTTTGTCCGTGTACTGTTTGGGAAGTCAGTGCATTGTTAGCTGAGGCATGGGAATGTGAAAATCACCCCAAAGATTTTGAGAATGGCAGGATGGTTTGCGACTATACGGGACAAATTGCCCAATGAACACAAGAATCGTCAATGAGACTCACGGTATAATGCCACAGTTTCAGCACGGCATTCTTCCATGGAAGAGGAGACCTCTCCGAGAACCGAATCTGGGGTTTGACCAGGTTTATACCACGTCTCACTGCGGTAATGTAACACTTGGAAAAAAATGAGAGGGAGTTCAGTTACTCACACAGGTTTTCCAGTAAGCGGGTTGATGACCTGCGGTCAAGATTGATATCAACCGCATAATTCTCCATTCAAATACACCTTCTCTAGATCAAAGTTCTTCGAACCATCTGCGGCCTCCTGGAACAGTTTCCCAGAGCCATGTCCGAGCAATCCATGGTTGGCAACTTGCAGCTCGAATGCCCTTGCATCCCAAGCATTATACAGGTTAACGTCGCCGGGGTGAACGAAAGTCACGACCATATCTACAAGGATGGGTCAGGTCGCCAAGCCTGGGGGTTTTCCGATAGAGCTTACTGGACGCTTTGGCGACTAAGATATTCTATGCGAGCCATTGAATATGCTGTTCTTCAAAACATGTCGTGAGATGACTCGCCGCCAGAGAGACATTTTTGAAACTAGTCGATTCTCGTACGTTATAATAGTTCTCGGAAATATGAATAAGGGTGGGTGCGAAGGGAGAGTGAAATCGGTTATTAGGGGTATCTGGAAACTCGGTGGATTAGAAAAGGAAAGGGAGAACCAACAGTAGCACCACTTACATTGATCCCAGCTGGCATACCTAACAGAGTTAACCTTAGCGTTGTGCGAGGGATTAAAAAATACAACTGACTCCCCGTAGTAAACTGGACAATCTCTAGTGCAGTAAAGTCGGGCCTCCGGAATATATCGATTTCAAAGTCTTTGCCCCAAGGCAGGACTGTGATGAGCTCGGGAGCGTCGTTGACAAGTACATTGTACTTGGCGCTCAACTCCTTGTTGACGATGGCAGTGAAGCCTTTGCAGCATTAAAACATTGCTTGCTCTCATCCTTGTCGCTCACCTTCCCATTCAGCGCGTCCATCATAAGGATCAACGTAGGTCTCTACGAACCCGATGTGACTCTCGACAGTAGGGCCAACATCTTTAACCCAGTACGTAGACCCCTTTTTGTGCTCTTCGATTGAGCCGGTCTCAGAGCTGACCGAGCATTTCACGTCAACCGAGAATACCGAACAATGTGCACGTACGATTTGATGTAGCACTCCAACATTTTCGTTTGGGTTTCGTTGGCAGTGTATTTCTTTGCCTATCAAGAAAAAGGTCAAGATAGCGAAATAGAAATGCAGATCAAGAGATCTCATGCCTCTTGCAGCGCAGTGATGACTTCGGAAAGCGATTCTGAGAAGTCGCCATATTCAACAGTCAACTTTGCTGTTCCTGAAGCTATGCTAATATCATGCAGGGCCGGTGGTTGTTTGATGGCGGACGCAACAAGAAGAGTAAAGTCCCCCGGGCCGGTCTTGCACACTCTATTAAGAACTGAGCATGTGACCGGTGCCCAGTGTAAGTATGGATTTGATATACCGGGTGTTGAGAACGTCAACGCCAATCTTTTCCGCGGCTGCCTGAACCGCTAACACTTCTTCGTCAGTGATAACTTCACCCAAGTAGTAATTTGAGATGTGACCCTCGCTGCGCTTGCCAATGAACAGCGAACTCTCAGGGGTCGTAGAATATATGTGTTCCTTGAGCTAAAGCAACACGAGTGAGCAGACGAAAAGACGAGGTAACGATGGGAAGCACTTGCCGTTTCCCACAGAGGCATTGCATTGGCTGCGTTCGTCGACGCGGCTATGATTTTTGCAAATTCGCCAACTGGAATACGAGGGACAAACTTCGTGAAGCCGAAGCTCTTATAATTAGCCAGGTTTTGCATGACCTGCGATGATGAACCCGCCGCTCGAGTTACATACGCTCAGAAGATACCATCAATCTAGCAGACCTGAGCAGTATACTGGAGAGCGTCATCAAAGTCTTGTTCGCTTACACCTGATCGTTGCTTCAATGCCTCTAGATCGGTAAGTTTTCCGTTGGCGCTGAAGGTGAGGACGAGAAGATCGTAGAGGGTGTGTGCTTGAGGCGTCCATTGACCCTGAACGATGCGAGTACCTGCCCAACACGCTTGTCCGATGTAATGAGCGTACAGCTTTTCTCTCGACCTATCGACCGTGATCATATTCAAGTTACATACTAACCCACCTAAAGCGGCGGGAGGACGCACGTCAACTGATCAAAAGCCTTTGCGACATCCACCCTACAGACCGGGGGAGCCTTTGTCCGCTAGGTAGCGTTCTGTCAGGAGGGAAGCCATTCTAGTTTGCAAGTTAGGATTTACACTTCGTAATCTGACGAGCGAGGGATGATAGTGCGCTGCATGATGATAGGATCACCCGGACCGCATACCGAAGAACGCGCTTCCACTTGGGTAGCACTGGAGCGTCCCCTTCTACAGCGGTAACGACGCGGACAACTTGATTGTCATGAAGTGGAATTACTTCTGCTTAAAATCCCGTTATTTATGAGTAATCCATTTGACTTCGTCCCAAAGACAGATTATAGGTTTCTCTCGATTAAACTCTCGATCATACCACCCGCAGTAAGTGGGTATTCCTTCAGGACCACCTCACCATCGACAACAAAGGTATTCGGTTGCAACATCATCTTGCGCGGCTGCTTCATCTTCAACACCACATTTCGGATTTCTCCTAGCCATCCCGGTAACGGCGTCGTCAACTCGGTATAGAATTTCCTCGCGCCTGGACCATCCGCTGTACTCCGGCGGACTTGTAGTTCAAGCAGAAGTTTTCCGGCGATCGATTGTCCTTCTTTGAGAACCTTTTCGCGATCCACCTGAGAAATCATCGTTAACATCATGTTTTGGATATTACGGAGGCACACATACCCTGACGTAGACGTTCTCCAATTCGCCGTTGGATCCACGAACTTCTTCGAGGCGCACCAAACCCTCATTCAGCATGAAATTTGTGATTCCTAACCTGGCATTGCGGAAAGGGTCAGCATGTTCCGTGTTCATATCGAAAACAAACGAAGCTAAGTCTGCCCACCGAGCCTGCATATGAGCTTGACCATGCTTTTTGGTGACCGGATCATAGAACTCGAGACCACGCAGACCAGCGCGTGCCATGAGAAGAAAGGTGATGAAGACGATATCCTCTATTTCTTTCCTGTCCGTGTACTGTTTGGGGAGTCAATACGTTGCTAGCTGAAGCACGGTAACGTGAGAATCACCCCAAAGATTTTCAGAATGGTAGGATGGTTTGCAACTACATGAGGTAAATCAATTGCCTATTAGACACGGGAATCGGCAATGAAACCCACGGTATAATGCCACAGCTTCAGCGCGACATTCTTCCATGGAAGAGGAGACCTCTCCGAGAACCGAATCTGGGGTTTGACCAGGTTTATACCACGTCTCGCTACGGCAATATAACACTTCAAAAGAACGAGGCAGAACTCGATTACTCACATGGGTTTTCCAGTGAGCGGATTGATGACCTGGTATCAAGATTAATATCGGGAACATAATTCATTCGCAAAACGCGCCTTTTCGGGATCAAAGTTCTTCGTACCATCTGCAGCCTCCTGGAACAATTTCCCAGAACCATGTCCCAGCAGCTCATGATTGGCAACTTGCAGTTCGAATGCCCTCGCATCCCAAGCATTATACAGATCAAGATCATCAGGGTGGATGAAGGTCACAACCTCGTCTACAAGGATGGATCAGGTCCCCAAGCCTGGGAAGGTTTTCGATAGAGCTTACTAGGTGCTTTGGCGCTCAGGATATTCTATGCGGGCCGCTGAACATGCTGCTCTTCAAAACACATCATCAGATGACTCACCGCCAGAGAGACATTTTTGAAACCGGTCGATTCTCGTATGTTGTAGTAGTTCTTAGAAATATGGATAAGTGTCAGTGTGAACACCAAATGAAATCGGTCATTACAGGTATCTGGAAATCCGGTAGGTTAGAAAGGAAGGAAAGAACCAACAGTAACAGCACTTACATTAATCCCGGCTGGTATACCTAATCGAGTAAAACTTAGCGTTTTGTAAGGGATAGAGAGCGATAAAACTCACCGCCCGTAGCAAACTGGACGATCTCTAGTGCAGTAAAATCGGGCTTCCGGAACACATCGACTTCAAAGTCCTTTCCCCAGGGGAGAACCTTGATAAGCTCGGGAGCGTCGTCGACGAGTACATCGTACTTGGCACTCATCTCCTTGTTGACGATGGCAGTGAAGCCTTTGCAGCATTAGAACACTGTTCTCTCCCATACTTGTCGCTTACCTTCCCACTCAGCACGTCCACCATAAGGATCAACGTAGGTCTCAATGAACCCGATATAGCTCTCGACGACAGGACCTAGATCCTTAACCCAGTATGCAGACCCCTTTTTGTGCTCTTCGATTGAGCCGGTCTCAAAACTGCCTAGGCATTTCACATCAACCGAGAATACCAAACAAGAAGTACGTACGATTTGATGTAGCACTCCAACATTTTCGTCTGGGTTTCGTTAGCAGTGTATCTCTTTGCCTACCGAAAGAAAAAAGGTCAGGGTGACAAAACAAAAATCAATTGATCACATGCCTCTTGCAACGCTGTGATAACTTTGGAGAGCGGTTCTGAGAAGTCACCATATTCAATAGTCAACTTTCCCGCTCCAGAAGCTATGCTGACATCATGCAGGGTTGGCAGGTTGCTTGCTGGCAGACGCGACAAGAAGAGTAAAGTCCCCCGGTCCGTTCTTGCGCACTCTACTAAGAAGTGAGCATATGACCATCCAATATAAGTATGAATTGGAAATACCGGGTATTGAGAACGTCAACGCCAATCTTTTCCGCAGCAGCCTGAACCACTGATACCTCTTCGTCAGTGATGACTTCACCCAAGTAGTAGTTTGAGATGTGACCCTCGCTGCGCTTGCCGATGAACAGCGAACTCTCGGGGGTCGTAGAATATATATGGTCCTTGAGCTAAATTAACACGAGTGAGCAGACGAAAAGACGACACAACGATGGGGGCCACTTGCCGTCTCCCACAGAGGCACGGCATTAGCTGCGTTTGTCGACGCGGCTATGATTTTTGCAAATTCGCCGACGGGAACGCGAGGGACAAACTTCGTGAAGCCGAAGCTCTTATAATTAACCAGGTTATGCAAGACCTTGGATGAACCCGCCATTAAGTACATACGCTGAGAAAAGATCCCACGAATCTGACACACCTGAGCGGAATACTGGAGAGCATCATCAAAGTCTTGTTCGCTTACACCTGATCGTTGCTTCAATGCCTCCAGGTCGGCAAGTTTTCCGTTGGCGCTGAAGGTGAGGACGAGAAGGTCGTAGAGGGTGTGGGCTTGGGGCGTCCATTGACCCTGAACGACACGACCTCCTGCCCAACAAGCTTGTCCGATGTAATGAGCGTAGAGCTTTTCTCTCGGCCTATCGGTTGTAATCAGATTCCAGTTACACACCAGAGCGGGAGAACGCACGTCAACTGATCAAAAGCCTTTGCAACCTCCACCCTGCAGATCGGGGGAGCCTTGTCCGCTAGGTAGCGTTCTGCCAGGAAGGAAGCCATTCTCGTTTTCAAGCTAGGGTTGATACTTCGTAGTCTGAGCAAGGGTGATGGTACGTGGTGATAAGATCCCCCGGGCCGGACACCAAGAACACGCTTCCATTGGCTGGCACGGAACATCCCCCTTTTTCGGAGGTCAAGGCCGCCAAAATTGAAACCGAACCAAGGCCTGATTGGACGAAAGAGGAAAGAAGAAGAAAAAAAACGTAATTAAAAAAGTCAACCAGTAGCCCACCGCGAGGGTCGAACTCGCAGCCTTCAGATTGCCTAGTCATAAGAGTCTGACGCTCTATCCGATTGAGCTAGGCGGGCGACATATTCTGTTCATCCCAGAGATTTATGAGAAGCTACATACTCATCCTTACGGGTCCATACAAACATATAAGGAACAATCCAGTCCAAGAAGAAATAATATCACAAATCATCCATCCTAAACAAGTTGCATCCCGGCTGAAAATCTCCGTCTCGTTACAGAATTCCCTTGGGAAACCATCGCTTGAACACACATTATGAACGTACACACATCCCAATTTCGAGAAGACAAGTTGAAAATTTCCTATGGATTGCCGTAGATGAAGAACATGAAACTTGCGGATATCACCCGCGAAAGGAACCAGTACCATTATAGTTATCGTGCCTTCGAGCGTTTTCCTGGGATGATAAAATCACCATACCAGACGTCTGTGAGGCACCGCCATCGGTCTGCAGAAACTCCGCCGGGACGCGCGGTCGATGACGCCGTGATCTGCTTGGCAGGCGATGGACTCTGTGCATTGTTTCTGCACCCGTCAACGTCCCTACGAACATATTCGTGATGTCGCAGAGAACACTATCCTGGCTTGCCGCTTTCGGAATACCATGACGATCTCCTTGCGCTTTTGAGGGGGATCGCGAAGGATTAGTGCGCCTTGGATCCACAGTCGTACGCAGCAAACGCTTGCGAGTAACGCATCGAGTCAAAGTTGATTTTTGAGCAGGAGCATCCCAGTCGTAAATTGCGTCGCAACCTTCGTTCTCCTTGCTGCAGGAGTGCATGGTGCTTTCTCTGTCAGCACGTTCACCACGGCGTCCGTCGTTCCGGGCTGAGGAACCGTGACGCGAAAGCTTGTTATATGTCTTGAGCCGATTTTCGGCAGTCCGTGTCCTTAAAACAGCGGAACCAGCCACTTTGATAGTAGCCTTTCGTTGAAGTTTGATTCGAGGAATGTTGGGCGGAGAAAGAAGTGCGAGATGAAGGTAGGTGCCTGCAGATTCCGCGCTATAAACAGACACATCATCGTTGGAAATGGGTGACTTGGTTCGAGACTCGGGATCATCGCCAGGTGAACACGGCCGATCCTATGCAGGCGGTTAGCTGTGACAAACCACTCGTTGTTGATAATTACCACAGTAGTGTGTGAGTACGTGCACGCAGCTTGAGGGCCATACGATGCAACGATGCAGTTCTTGGGGACAGAAGTTTCCGGTGAATGGGAGAAGCTTTCAACTACCGCAAGGGCTGTCTTCCCCGTATTGCACGTGGACTCACAACACCAAGAATCCGGTAGGACGTTTGTCGACGAGATCAAACGAGGAGGGGAGATATCCAAGGGACAGCGGGCACCAGGGCTCGAACACTTTTCTTTGTTGTTTGAGGGAACGGGCGGAAGCGGTTTGTTAGAAAGCTGGAGTCATTACAATGAGAAGAGGGGCAACACAAGGGCTACTATGCGTACCGCTCTATTCCTACCAGATTTCTCACAGGGAAGGAACTGACAGGGCGCCATGGCCAGCAAGGCGCAAAGGCAGGAACGAGGAAACGCACGAGGACCTGAAAGACGATGGGTGATGGCAGGTGGGACGAGCAGCGCACCTGTGGTCCATGTCAGCCTCACCCAGGATAGGGGGTTGTTCGATCTCGGAATGTGTTTGACTAATTCGGAGTTGGCATAAAACTTGCACAAAACCTAATACATAATGTCTGGACGGAACACAACTCTTTTGACACTCGCAAGATGACCACGGCCCAGACGTCTCAGTTGACGCCTGCAGCCTTGCCCCCTTCCGTATTCACACTTCCTCAGACTGCCCAACTTGAAGCCCTGTATACGATCATCAGGGATAAAACAACTAGCCGGGGTGATTTTCTCTTCTACTCAGATCGCATCATCCGGCTTCTTGTCGAAGAGGGCCTCAACCATCTCCCTGTTGTCCCAAAGACCATTGAAACACCTACAGTCCGTATCACTCCCAGTAGTAACAAGTGCCAAATGACTGGCCTTTTGTTTACGACGAGACCATTCCACTGATGTGGATAACCTTTACAGGGATCAGTGTATGAAGGAGTTGGTTTCGAGGGAAAGATATGCGGTGTATCCATCTTGCGTGCTGGAGAGGTACATATATTCTGTGGGATGCGGTGAGCTTACTTTGAGTGCACACCCAGGCGATGGAGGCAGGATTACGAGAAGTCTGTCGAAGCGTCCGCATAGGCAAGATTCTCATACAGAGGGTGCGTGGCATCAGTGGCATCACCCGCCATTTTCTCAAGTTTTATCAGGACGAGGAGACTGCTCAGCCAAAGCTTTTCTATTGCAAGGTACCTAGTGTCGCGAGCCTGTCGCGTGCACTCTGACAGCGCGAACCAATTGCAGTTCCCAGAAGATATCGCTCAACGATATGTTCTCTTACTCGATCCTATGCTCGGTAAGCGTTGGTTGACCGACCCCGATTCACTTCTCAGCGTTCGCCACCGCTAGCAACTGGTGGATCCGCAATTAAAGCTGTAGAAATACTGAAGGAACAAGGCGTACCAGAAGAACGAATCATATTCATCAACCTGGTGATTTGTTTCCTCCTTTCGAACCTGGGATTAGTACCTAAACACGACAAAAGATCGCAGCGCCTGAAGGCTTGAAGAGGTTCTGTTCCAAGTTCCCCGCATTACGCGTCGTAAGTAGACTTGCACCGGTGACTACACCAAGTCTTTATCATGCCTGATCTGCTTGCTGCAGATTACGGGATGGATAGATAAAGGACTCAATGAAAAGGCATTCATCATACCAGGTCTTGGTGACTTTGGCGAACGACGGTAACGACCCTGCGACCCCTGCATTCATTACACGTCTGACGCGTTACCAGATATTGTGAATGAGACAATTTGAATCTGGATGCAACGCCTTTTTTTACACAGGATGTTGTACAGTGTATATCCGCCTTCGAATTGACATCGCCTTCGATATGACTTCAATGGTGTGTGGATGTGAATGGTTGCTTCATTCCGCAGTTTCGTATTAGTGCTATACATCTTCGAGGATACTAGTGCCGTACTTCCTTGAAGATATTAGATCACTTGCCTGTTATGGTAGGGAGCACTTACAATGTCGGGCTACATAATATGAGTGGTCACTTAGGTGAAACGTCCATACGCGACATGCTCAAATTCGCACTTTTAACTCGCTGCTCGTGGCTACGGACGAGTGAGCGACTGTCAGTTCTAAAGCCTCCAGCAAGGTGGACGCGAACACAGAGACGGCTTTATTCCGAGGTTCGCCATAACGCACCTACGGGTGCTCAGGATAGGGCCACGGTCGGGGTGAGGCGAGAACACCTCAGTCAGGTGGTAGCTTCACTTATGTCGTCGCCGTAGGTCTTCACTCCAAAAGCTGCCGCGCTATTCGTGGCAACGGGCATCGGACTGTACTTCTACTTCCATCACGAGAAGCAAAAACTCCTGGAGCAGAAACGTATGTCGCCCAGGATTAATACCTACGTCATGTCACTCGTCCTTTCACCACAGAAAAACAACTAGAGTCCCGTACCGTTGGTCGAGCACAAGTCGGAGGTCCGTTTACGCTGACGTCGCACGAGAACAAGCCCTTTTCAGACAAGGACCTGCTCGGAAAATGGAATTTCATGTACTTTGGCTTTACCAACTGTCCTGATATCTGTCCTGCTGAATTGGACAAGATCGGGGCAGTGGTCACTCCGCTAGGTAAGTCCATATGTACGAACTTCTTTGATTTCATGATCTTCGTCGTTACTATGGTCCGTAGAAAAAGAGTATGGGAATATTTTCCAACCCGTTTTCATTTCGGTCGACCCCGCAAGAGACACCATCCCACAAATGCAGCGCTACCTTGCCGACTTCCATCCTCGCATCATCGGCCTTATGGGTGACTATGCGACCACCAAGAACGTATGCAAAGCATATCGTGTCTACTTCTCGACACCACCCAACGCGGATCCGAATGGCGACTATCTGGTCGACCACTCTATATATGTTTACCTCATGGACCCGAAAGGCCAGTTCGTAGAAGCATTTGGCCAGAGCACGACAAGCGAAGAGGTCGTCGAAAGAGTGAAGAAAGAGATTGCTGAATATGAACAAGAGACCGGCAGGAAGGTATAGAAATTCGACGCCGCTAGCGAGGGGTCGTGGAGTATTTCGCAAGTTTTTAGATTACTTTATCTCTCCCATGTATTCACGGCATTTGGCAATTCACTATCACAACTCAGAGGACAGAGGTACGTGCAACGAACCGTACGGAGATGAATATTTGTAAACCTTGCGCACGGAGTTGTGTGGGTAACGTGCATCGATCTAATAAGTGTCCTCTAATTCCTCCGCCTGTTGAAGCTTTAGCTTGGACATCTTCTTCATCCGTCGCATCATGCTACGTTGGTAAGAAAGGTTAGCACCAGATGTCAAGCAAACATTGTTTTGAGGCTCACTCGTCGTATTGACACCTGTCGCCCGGGGAAATACGGTCAGCGAACGATTCATCGAAGTCCTAGGATATAGCACACCCACTTCTCGTACGAGTGACGCTCGTTTTCACACTGCCATGGAAGGTAGTAATTTTGTCTCCGGCAAACATTCAATGGTACCAGTAGTCTGCAACCGTCCAGCGGACCCGAGTGAGATAGGAAGAACGCCCAGCGGTAAAAAAAAAAAAAAAACATTATTTAATAATACTCACGCGGAGCACTGATCCCTCCAGGCTACAGGAACCTTGGCAGCCTTGAGTTCCTCTTGCAATGCTATGTGTGAGGATGTCATGGATGTTGGTCGCGAACTGCTAAACTGTCGGTTGCGGTCTGGTGGTGTGGCTGTGCTAATAGTTCTTTTCCTGGCACACTGCAGATTGACAACCAGATGGCATGACCCCCTCAGACTGGCGCAATACTTACAGGCTGAAACAGGTCGCCGGAAACCTGGCGAGTCGCAATATTCCATCCCATCAGGAAGTTGATTTATGTAGAACATTGAACTTCGCATACTCCGATCAGTGGAACGGACCACGGATTATGGTCCACCGGAACTCAAGGGTAGACCATATCTTTCACGGGCTTTTGGAATCTAAAGTGCAATTTTTTGACAGCTCGAACTCGTTGGCGGGTTACAGAACGCTAAAAGGCGCTGTCTCCCCCAGTGGTACGGTACGGTTAGTAATTGCCCCTTCTGGTGACAATGCCACTCAGAGATAGGAGTAGATGACAAAGCTAAATATCTCTGTTTGTGATTCCAAGGGAAGACTGAAGATCGATACGTACCGGTGTCCTACGGATAAGGCGGGCAATACGCTGCCCGCAGAGCCCTTCTAACTTAAGCATGTGGTACGTTGTGCGAACACAGGATTATCCAACGTAACGCCTTTCCTCCTAAGAAAAAATATTGCGGCATGTTCATGAACTTTTATAATTTCCGTGACTTCACTAGGTTCCGATCTGCCGCGAACAGTTTGTTTGCCGCTATAGCCCGCTGTCTACCTTGTCTATCAGCACCTAGACCCTACTTGGTCGTTATTCACCCATTCGAGGTTGTGGTTACCTTGTTACAATGATGGGTACGTGCGAGGATCGGAGAATGAGGTGAGAAAGGCTGGTTGCGCGACTCATGCGGTTAGTATGTCTCAACATAGTCTGTGACCCTTCCTGAGCAGATGCATAAGGAAACTGGGTTGGACACGCCGCATTTTCCCGGAAGCTGTAACCGGAATAATTTGTGCATCATCGTTCTCAACTAGAACATCCTAGGGTACTGTCTTTTTCTGTCCTAACATTATCACCGAGTCCACGAACTGCTACCCACTCCGCAGATTCACACCCTGCCTATTACAGCTTTCGGTCACTCAAAGTGCGATACTGCATATTGGGTAAGGACTTCTTATGTATGACAGCCACAACCTCATGGTGGTTCTCATATATCGCTGGTGATATCAACGAAGATATATCATTCGTGTAGGTTTATTCCGTCAAAACACCGCCTGGATCTCCTTGTCAAGGTCTTTGAATCAAACGGCCCCGGTTCACTACGACTGCCGTCTGACTAACTAGTGGGGTGCTCCATTTTATGCCTCACCATACTTATTGATTAGTTGCCGAACCCTGCTGCTGATCGGCGTATTTTCTTCAGTCGTCTATTTACCCTTTTAAATACAAAGGCCTTTGACTAATTAGTTTCCTAGTTCCGGCTTTTTATGATCAACCCGACACGTAGCGTCTCGGAAATTCTAATACTTGCGCTCCGACGCCGATGTTGACGATCCAACCGGGTCAGATCCCGTTGCCATGGGTTTTGTCAGGTATACAGCATGAAATCATTCCCTCCGTCAAGGGGATATGGCTTGCAAGTAAGTAGTGCAACCGTAGATTTACTCAAGCTCTGCCTCAAAAGAGCCACCATTCAATGCGTCAGGAAGGGCACATTCTATATTCTATGGTTATAGCGGAGAAACAGCAGTGGGTTGTACAGCACGAAATTGAGAGCATACACAGCTATCGGCAGCATCACCTGAAAGCACATGAAAAACTGACGTTTCCGGGACCAGCGAGTGAGCGGACTGCTACTTTGGCTGCTCCGCTCATCCCTCATGACTGCGGAGATACGCTAAAGCCTGGGCGGCAGCTACCTCCTTTGCTGCTGCTCGAGAAGGTCCTTCGCCGCGGCCGACCTCATACCCATCTACTAAATATACCAAGCATGTGTTACCGACAGCCACTTTGAATAGACAAAAAAAAATTGCGACGCACAGTAAGCTTTAACCTCCCATATTGGTTGGTTTTGGGGACCTCTCACTTTCGCGTCCCATTCAATTCTTCTAGTGCCACCGTACCTCCTCTGCATGAACTCATTCAGTTGGAAGCGTTGATCCCCTGTTCCGTCCCCTTAACGGTGCAAAACAACTGGATGAAGTCAGAGAACGTACCTTCCATCATAGAAAGGCTTGAGTAGTTGTTGTTATAAGCAATGAAGACTAAATGTTTGTTGGGCACTGCGGGGCATTTCCCTGTCCCTCTTATACCTTTGCAAAAAAAAAAGATGTTTAAGCTGTTAGATAAGTTCATGAGTGGGAATCACTGTTTGCAAGAATCAGATAAAAATGATTACCGGCGTTGACCGCGGTGGATACGGAGATGGAGAAAGAACAAGAGAAAATCAGCACTCGCAGGTATCGGACATAGTTCATCTGGAATATCGGGTATCTCATTTCCGACAGGGGTGTATTCAAAAGGTTTAGTACCCCTTTGCCAACGAACGCTCATGACGGAGGACTCAAGAACCTGTGTAAGGAGGGGGGATATTTAAGTGATTGCCTTGCTATGTCGTGAGCGACGCAGCGGAGCGACGAGGATATCTTGCTTAGTGGCCGAGAGCCGCCTATCCGGTAACCAATATTCCTCCTGATCTACTTTGCGGTTCATCTAGGTGGCATAATATGAACTAAAACAATCGTAACGAATTACCCACCAGGGAATTGAAAGACGAGCGTCTTACAGATAATTGAAGAGAGGGAGTCGGAGAGATAAGACAGGCACATGCTTCCAACGAATGCGCGCGACTACTCACAAAATCACATGGATCGTATATTCACCGGTATTCCGCAGTACTTTACGTTGCGAGATAACCTGGAAGCGGGGCATCCTACTCGGACATTCATCAAGTGAAAAAAAGGGTTGCGTTGTAAATGATACAAGCGAGACAAGGTCACCTACGCCTTCTCGGCACTATACCTACTGTTTCTTTTGTCCGTGTTCTTCTTGATCTTGCTTCATGCTCATCTCAATGGCGCGTGCAATTGCCTCTTCCTCATCCAAATCTTCCTCATCTTCTCCGTCCATATCCACGTCCCGACCCTCTGACATGGCTAGTGCTTGTCGAAGCGCGGCATCTTCGTCAGCATCACCGGTAGCGCCATCACGAGGGGGGGTAGTTTGAGAAGCGTCGGTGGAACCATGTGCTTGCTCCTCGGCTGCCTGGCGTGCCCGTTCTTCTTCCATAGACATGCGTAATGCCTGATGAGTAGTCAGACCCAAACAAAGAATTTCGGCGACACAGAAATTCACCATGGCAAGTTCGGGATCAAGATTGGGGTCGACGCCGAACTCATAGTCGTTAGTGCCACCAGTACCTGAGGGACCTGCGGCAGCAATAGTACCCGGTGGTATACCGCGATCTTCCGCCAGAACCGGTGACGAAATAATCACATCAGAGAGAAGGTGTGGACCAGGTGGAACTGACACAAGATGTCTGAAACGGAAAGGTCATGACCCACATCCAGCCAGGAAATAACACGAGGCGTACGAATTATCGGCACTTGATGCGTTCTCGATGAAAGCCTTTAGGACGCTTGATTCGCCTTCCTCAATACCGTCTCCAAATACGATAAGGTCGATCGCGACATTATTCTTCTTCAATTTCTTAGCCAGCTTTACCATCTCTCGTTCATCTGCCGCGGGGCCCTGCAAGGGTGACCCGATAAAGACTATTATCCGCTGCCGGAGATTCTTGTTTTCGCGGTGCTTTAATGCCAATTGAGCGATATTGATGGCCGTCGGAATGTCAATGTACCCGCCCATATTCAAAGATGCAGTGTGGAGCCCTTTCACAACCTGGCCAAGTTCTTTGGAGTGCGTGACAAGTACCTCTGGGCTGCGGCGAACTCGGTCAATGGAAGAGAAGACCAGAATATGAAGCAGACTTACCCCTTGTGGGCCATAGTCATGACACCAACCGTGTTTTCTGGATTGGAATCGATCTTGGTTTGGACGATAGTGTTGACAGCGTCAGCCTGGGCATCAAAACGGGAAGGCACATAATCTCCATTCCGCATGTACTCCGAGTTGTCAATGACCATCATAGTAGCCTCTAGCGGCATCGTAGCTGACGAGGCCCGCGAAATGTCCTGGCAGAGAGTTTCAAGTTGTATGGGCTGACGCGTGCCACGCAAACCCTAACCCTAATATTGTGTCCGGCCCGTGCGGAGCGGATCTCGGCGCCGTAGCCAAATACTACTGTGTGACAGTGCCTGCAATATTCTCGAGTCACTCCAGGCTTCAAGGTACGCATTTTGGTGAATGGCGGTGCGTCATCCCTGATAAATGGAGACGCGCATGTTGAATTCGCCGATTAGCAGAGTCAAATTTGCACTCTGAGGACCACCAAAACTCCCCGGTTTTCAAAGATGTAGAAAGTGGGGCTAGCTGAATTGACCATTAATGGTGCTTGATCATCGGAGTGGCATCTCCATAATCTGCCTTTTGATAATGTAGGTTAATGATGTTCTACACGCACAGCCAAACTGAGTTATAACCGTTAGTCGAACACGGGCATCTGTCGACTTCCAGGACCTGCAGAAGATGTCGAATGCGGCACTGACAACCCGCGATGTTCGTTCCATGGCACTTCTGGACGGTTTTACCAGATCCAACCAAGGTAAGGCGTGGTTTCTAGCAACAATGCCATCCCCGGCGCTTCCCCCCCTAGTACACGCATTCTAGCCTAGCTTACACGCACGAGCGCTCAGGACAGTGTTCCGTCTGTTTAGAAGGACAAGTCCCGGAACGGATCACTTCCCGTAGTCATTGTCCTCCCGTTCGGGAAGAGACACAATTTTGAACGATCATGAAGTCTGGCTCATACCGATTACACCGGGACGGCGGGATAGCTTTGATTTGTGAATCCAGAAAAGTCGTTGGCTGAGTGGTGGCCGCTATCAGCAGAGGGTGACGTTTCCAAAGGAACTGAGTACTTGTGTCATTAACTTACCCGCTCTTACAGAAAGAGAAACACGAGCCGCGTAAACGACTGGTAACCTCCCTACATCTAGTCGCTAGGAGAGGAGGCCAGTCTTCAGTGCAGTGCAGGAATAGCTTCGTTCCTTATTTCTTGCCGTGGGATAAGCAAACGGCGCCGTTTAGGCCGGGAAACTTGTGGCGAGGCAGGTGGTATCACATTTGTTCATTCCGCAGCAAGGCAGCGACTCTAACAAACATGTTACACTGTCAGTGAAAGGTGGGAAGAAAGATCATTGCGTTTGTCCGTGGCTTGCGCTCGGCTCGGAGTATGGAACCCTATGGCGGTGCCAAGAATAATGAGGACTAAATGGAGATGTGTTGCCATGACATCGCGCGCAGATCTCCCGCAAGACTTTCTAATACCAGACAAGCAATACTAGTGCCGCGAACTAACATTTGACTTCTATGCTCCCCACGATGCAGCATCTCCCAAAATTCCGCTCATTGTCGACCACTACGTTTGACTTGCCCACATCTTCATAATCCTCGACTTTCTATTGGCTTTGGTTTGGTTCGGTTCTATGTGACATGATAGCGTCTATCTACCAGTGGCATTGATGATCGTTGTAGCCAAGCTGCTCCCAAAAGAGCCAGGAGAATTCGTCAGCAGGATCATGCCTAGGCAAGGGGTGCGTGCGTGTTTGCACCCACCACTTCATCGGACTTGGAAATGAGTCACTATATACACGTAGGTCTTGACTGCAGTGGCGTCCCATCAGCACTTGACCGCAGAAGACCGCAGAGAAGTAATGGATGTTACAGTATGGCGGTGGGACCATCTACCTGGATAAAAAGGGTGGGGCGCAGGGGTACTACAACACCCTGCTCCCTACAGCCGATAGCTTAAGCGATGACACTCGACGCCACATCTTCCATAGAGCATTTCAATAACTGGCCAAATGATACTGGGGTATGCCCCCGACTGGCTATCCACGGTGCTTAACCTAACCCTCTTCCAGTTCGAAATCCTTCACGAGGAACGCGAGCCAGTCGAGCTCACTGTTTCCGGATGCATCCCTTCCTATGTTTCCGGGACCTTGTACAGGACAGGACCTGGGGGTCGCCAAGTGAAAACAGACAAGGGCACAACCTTCGCCATAGACCACTGGTTCGATGGTTTCTCTCAGAACCACCGCTTCCAAATCATCCAAACAGGCTCCTCCGCGCGCGTCATGTATAATTCTCGCCGGAGTATTGACCCTCTGATTGAGAACATCTGCCGTGCGGGGAACATGGCTGGCTTTAGTTTCGGACAGAAACGCGACCCATGCACCAGCTTCTTCAAGAAAGTGATAAGTGTATTTGTCCCCGACCCTCCTCGACCGCAAGAGCAGGTCAACATCGGTGTCACGTTGTCTATAAATCCACCAGGGCTCAGTAGCCCTCAAACTGCCGAGAACCAAAAGATCCACGGCGGACATGCGTCTGGTATCCACACCCTCTTGGTCAAAACTGACGCCTTCATCATGCGACATATTGATCCCGAGACGCTTGAGCCCAGAGGCGTCGTCTCACAAAAGACACTGCACCCCAAATTAACCGGCATCCTTTCCGCTGCTCACGCAAAGTCGGACCCCGTAACCGGCGACGTCCACAACTACAACTTGGCACTCGGCCGTAATCCAACATATCGGGTGTTCCGCGTGTCCGCAGCCACTGGGCAGACGGAGATATTGGCAACCATCACCGATGCCCCAGGCGCATATCTCCATTCCTCCCTTATCACCGAGAGCTACTTCATTCTGTGTGTTTGGAGCGGTCGCTATGCAGGAGGTGGTTTGAAGATTCTATGGGAGAAAAACTTTCTTGATGCAATTTCTCCCTTCGACCCGAACCAGAAAGCGCTCTGGTACGTGATCGACCGCAAGCAAGGCAAGGGAGTCGTGGCCAAATACGAGTGCGACCCTTTCTTTTGCTTTCACACCATAAACGCATGGGAGGAACCCTCCCCAACAGATCCACTCTACACTGATATCGTCGCTGACCTCTCCATATATAAGAATCTCGACGTCCTCAAGAGATTCTATTACAACAACATCAAGTCCTCTTCCCCTGCCTCACTCGACTACGCAGGCGACAGGCGCAGAAGCTGCGACCTGTTCTTCCGTCGTTGGCGGTTACCTTCGGTTAACGCAGCCAACCCACGCAAGCCCCAGGAAGCTGTGGTTGTGCACACGGCTGCATACAACCACTCCTGTGAATTCCCCGTCATTAACCCTTGCTTCCTCACCAAACAATCGCGCTACGTTTACGGTGCCTGTCACCGCAGTTTGAGCACGTTCTTCGATGGCCTTGTGAAATATGACGTGCAGACGCAAACAGCAACATACTTTTCCGTACACGGTCACAGTCCTGGCGAGGCTATCTTTATCCCTAACCCCGTTGGGACCACTGAAGATGATGGAGTGCTGCTGAGCGTGGTCTTGGACGGGTACGCAGATAAGAGCTACCTACTAGTGCTGGATGTAAAAACTATGAAAGAAGTAGGGAGAGCGAGCATGGACTTCGCTGTATCCTTTGGATTCCACGGGGCTTACCGATCGCAAGCTGTCGAGGGCCCAAATACTGATATTTGAAGGTAGGATATGGCGAAAGTTGGCGGGTGCTCGGCGTGTTTTTTAACCGTTTTTTATGTTGTAAAATCTTCTACCTGCTCGCTCTGGATCACAGTATGCTCAAGTGCTTCCTTAATACTTTTATAGCTCCATCATACTTGTGTCGAAGGGAAGATCCTTTGCGTCTATTGACGATGATGTGTTGCAAATTTTGTGCATGACTGCACTGCATATGCTTTATGATATGGGGGCCCGCTTTCAAAGATCCCGGCGTAGACAACCATAGGCTTCGGGGGTTAGTTCCTGACAGCGGTGCAAGCCTGTAGCGAGGTCACTCGGAGCTATTCACGGGTTGTCCGCGAACCACTAAGACTGGGCGGTGGGTCACCTACAGTCATGGTGAAGAAGGAATGGTTCTCTGCCGTCAAGTCTTCAGATCCTTTCCAATAAAAATATATGCAGCTTTCGCACTGGATACGTGCTCATGATCTAGTTTCCTAGAATTTAGTACTGGAGTCTTCGGAAACTTGCGTTAGTTGGATGTAAGGATTCGGTCCGACGCTGTCAACCGTATGACTAGATGTTGGTTTCTTTATGACAGACCTACTGTTCTTCCCATTTATTCTTTGATCCTACTTAACCCGTACGGATACTCCGACATAGAATAAGACACTCTTGTCTGGAAAACTCGAGTAGAGCGAAGAATCCTTCTCGTTGTGCCACCGTTAAAGGACTTCACTTATCGGCGTCACACTGGACATCAGAAGTTTGATGGGATGACAAGTACTGTGATGCTGTACTATGGCTGTTCGACGGCCTGCTACACAGCGCAGTAGATAGTAACACTCCGCACTTCCATCGCACCTGGATAAAAGGGCTGAGGCATGTACAGCACGTCGCCCTCTGCAACCACCAACAAAGGCCATGGAAATCAACGCTACATCCTCCACAAATCATTTCAATGACTGGCCGAATGATGCCGGGGTACGTCTTTTACGAATGCTTGTTCGTCTACCACCATTCGCCTAACCGTCTTCCAGTTCGAAATCTTTCACGAGGAACGCGAGCCAGTCGAGCTCACTGTCTCTGGGCACATCCCTTCCTATATTTCCGGGACCCTGTACAGGACAGGTCCCGGTGGTCACCAAGTGAAAACAAACAAGGGCACGACCTTCGCCATAGACCACTGGTTCGATGGTTTCTCTCAGAACCACCGCTTCCAGATCATCCAAACAGGCTCCTCTGCGCGCGTTGTGTATAATTCTCGTCGGAGCATTGACCCTCTGATCGAGAACATCCGTCTCACCGGGAATATGGATGGCTTCAGTTTCGGACAGAAACGCGACCCATGCACTAGCTTCTTCAAGAAAGTGATGAGTGTATTTGTCCCCGATCCTCGGCCTCAAGAACATCATAATATTGGTGTCACGTTGTCCATAAATCCCCCCGGTCTCGGTAACCCACAAACCACTGAGAACAAGAAAGGAGGCGGCCATGCGTCTGGCATCTACACCCTCTTGGCCAAGACCGACGTTGCCGTCATGAGACATATTAATCCTGAGACGCTTGAGCCCCGAGGCATGGTCTCACAAAAGGCACTGCACCCCGAACTAACTGGTACCTTGTCTGCCGCTCACGCAAAATCGGATCCCGTAACTGGCGACGTCTTCAATTACAACTTGGCCCTCGGGCGTAGCCCCGTATATCGAGTGTTCCGCGTGTCTGCAGCCACTGGACAGACTGAGGTTTTGGCAACAGTTACGGACGCTCCGGGGGCGTATCTGCACTCCTCCCTCATCACCGAGAACTACTTCATTTTGTGCGTTTGGAGCGGTCACTATGCATGGGGCGGTTTGAAGATTCTGTGGGAGAAGAATATGCTTGATGCCATATCTCCCTTCGATCCGAACCAGAAAGCGCTCTGGTATGTGATTGACCGCAAGCAAGGCAAGGGAATCGTGGCTAAATACGAGTGCGACCCTTTCTTTTGCTTTCACACCATAAACGCGTGGGAAGAACCCTCTCCGACGGATCCACTTCACACCGACATCGTTGCCGACCTCTCTGTATACAAGAACCTTGACGTCCTCAAGAGATTCTATTACAATAATATCAAGTCCTCTTCCCATGCCTCACTTAACTACACAGGGGACAATCGCAGAAGCTGTGACGTGTTCTTACGTCGTTGGCGGTTGTCCTCGGTGGATACAGCCAGTCCACTCGAGTCCCGGGAGGCCGTGACAGTGCACACAGCTAAACACGATCGTTCTTGTGAACTTCCCGTCATTAACCCACGCTTCCTCACTAAGCCGTCGCGGTATATTTACGGCGCCTGCGACCGCGACTTGAGCACGTTCTTCGATGGTCTTGTCAAATATGATATGGAGACGCAAACAGCAGCATACTTTTCCGTTCACGGTCACAGTCCTGGCGAGGCTATCTTTGTCCCTAATCCCAATGGAACCACCGAGGATGATGGAGTACTGTTGAGCGTGGTCTTGGACGGGTTCACAGAGAAGAGTTACCTGCTGGTGCTGGATGCAAAAACTATGAAAGAGGTGGGTAGAGCGAACATGGACTGTGTTGTAGGTTTTGGATTCCACGGGGTTTACCAATCGCAAGCTGTCGAGGGTCCCAGCACCGATGTTTAAAGGCTTGATTTGGGACGGGGGTTGCTTTATGGTTTTTTGCATCCTGTAAGTAAGTTAAGGTCTGGTCTGGATTGTACTACGCTCTGTTCCGCCTTGTGGTATGTAACACCACCCCCTACATTACAGATAATAGATTTGTAGCGAGACTCAGTACTGGCGCCGAAGATGGACTCGAAAGTATAGTGTAAGGCAGTAACATTCGATGTATGCTGCCAATCAAACTCTGGTTAACAAGATTTCTGGAAGGCTCAAATGTGACACGACCCACATAGGCATGGTATTGAAACGACAATTGTTATTGTATCCCCCCGTTGATCATCCGCCACTGCACCGTACTGGTGTTCGTTATAGCGGCAACGAACTGAAGAGTGACAGAACGTTAGTAAAGCTACTGGAGTAAATACTAAATACTCGTGAAGAGCATTTAGAGGAACGGGAGTTGCCCAGCTCAGCGAATGAGACAGGGGTGAGAAACAGAAGCTTAGTAAGAACGTATGCGCGATTGCCTTTCGCCAACGGCAAGTACTATCTCTTGCACACGATAGGACCTTGCGATGAGCGTCGTCAATAATGATGGTATATTCCCTCCTCTCACTCCAGATTATATTCTAGCTTTTCAGTTCTCCAACTGGTACCCATCATTCGCTCGTGTGTCTCCCAAATCAACCATCATCAGACCACTGGGAAAGGACTTCAAGCATTACTTAGAATCTGATAGTATATTCGTCCCGGAGGGTTCTGAAGACGTGTTTGTCAAAAAAATATTGGTCACAATTCCCACTCGGATAACTCGATGACAGGGCAGCGGAAAGCACGATTTCTGATGACGACGATGACGGCGAACACGATGACACAACGACCACTGAGGAGCATTTTTCTTTCCCAGAATTGGACGAACGAATAAGGTCTGTTATTAGAGAATACAAAGCTGTCTTTCCCAAGCTGAATTTTTCATCACCCAAGGTAAGCTCCTGCTCCGTATATGCTTGAGTTTGCCAAGATGGACCTTACAGGACGCTTCGTGGGTGCTACCGGCGTCTTCTCCGCTCAAATGTACATCCCCAGCGGATGTCTACCTTCTTCTGAAGTCCTCTGATTTCATTACCCACGACCTCACCATCGAAAGTGTATTGGATGATTGCAAAACCGATGATCTTCCCAACTACGAACTAGAACTTGTACTTCGAAAATGGTACCCAGTGGACCATAGTCGTGAAGTCAGATGCTTCGTAAGGAATGACATACTTGTCGGTTCGTAATGTTCTTTTCTACCGATTGCGTTCATGTCTAAGGACAGGTTATGCCACAGGCATATCGCAAAGAGACACGAACTTCTACGACTTCGTGATCAACCTCGAGATCCAAAGGACAATCAGGACAACTGTTTATAACCTCTGGAAGGAAATCGTCCGACCCAATTGGACCTTTTCACAGAAGGATTGTGAGTGCTTTGTGTGCTAGCTACCAGATTGTATGGGATTCCGATATACTGGATAGATGTCATTGATTTGCTATTAACACGTGATCTTTCAAGCGGACACATCATCGACCTCAATCCTTATGCTCCATGTACCGATCCGTTGTTATTCACGTACGAGGAACTTCATGAAGTACTGTCCAAGGCAAATCAAGATACCACAGCAAGCTGGACATTCCTCCCAGAACTGCGTGTGATCGATTCACCACTTCATCCCGCTGCAACACTCAACATGCCGGCATATCGGCACAACAGGGTGCCAATCGAGGCGTTGACCTTGAGTGAAGGCCGAAATATAGTGGAGTTCAGCGAGGTATGGCAGGAGGAAGTAGCCCGGGCAGTACGTGAGGACAACTAGTAGACTATGGTAGCGTGCTCCTAATAACTTGGCTTCCGGTTGTACCTTCTTACGTGTTGCTCTTTTCTAGGAGACAGGTCGATTCCGTCTCACCGCGAAGCTGTGCGTTCTCGTAAAAGTCGTGTCTGCGGGTAGGAAATCCGGTGCTCTAAGCCCTAAACGGTGAACGGACTGATTTGAACAAGGAAACATAATGGGCCCTCATAATCACGGACTACTTATTCAATTTTTGATAATACGAGTCATATAGAGCTTTTTTAACATGCATTGGCCAACTGAATTACGACCGTCAAGCAGTGTTCTTGGCACCTTCCGGAAGGTGCACATACAGTCGTCATAACGCCCGTCTTCCCGGGATACACAGCAGTTTGGTATGGGGTACGAAGGAACATGGTGTCATTAGTGAGATCAAATTCCACATTGCATTCGGTTCGCAAATCTGTCGCGGAAGGAGATCTCCCTTAACAGTACTTCTGTGTGGATTGAGAAATGATCGCATGCAAGTAGATCGATCAATGTGAGGTTGGGGAAGAAAGTCCTTTTCCGTGTCATCCTTTCCATGTTCAGGCAGGTTTTTCTTCATCTTCCCTTGTCTTTATCGAGCACCATAACCACGGACGCATCACCATTTGCTGATGGCTTATGCAGGTCATAAAGTTGAGTGCAGTAACTCGTCTATTACCCCTCATGAAGGCGTCTCATTCGTGAAGAGGATTTAGAGGAGCGAGAGCTCTCCATTTCAGTATATAAATATGAGGCGGAAACAGATACCCATCTTGCATGATAGGACCTCGCGATGAGGGTCGTTACTAACGATGGTAGGTTCCCTCCTCCCACTCCAGATTATATTCCAGCTTTTCAATTCTCCAGTTGGTACCCTTCATATCCAAATTTTAGTGGACATCGGTTATTCATTAGTTTACTTATCTCTCAGGGTGAATGTCACCACACCAATAGCGCCCGGTCCAAACGGATCGACCTTTTTATCTGTCCTTGGCCCTGGAAAATCGGTAGCATCGAATCCCATAAGCTACATTCAACCAACACGACGTTCAGCTCGCGGATCTTTCGTGGAAATTGCTTCTGCGTGGAATGCCCATGTGCAGGTTGATCGATCAGTGTGAGATCGGGTGAGGGTGTCTTCTGCGAATAGCTGTTTTGGTACACGTGGATCCAGGTCATTTCATCTTCCCTTCTCGTCGAGTGCCATAGCCACGAACACGTTAACTTTTGGTCCCGTACCATGGAGGCCTTCGAGTCGGAATTTCGATGACCCCTACATCATTACCAACGTGGATGTCCTGAAATTCTGGATCATACGTTGCCTGAACCATCGATACACTTACGCCCGATTTGAAGTGTAAGATCCACTTTTGTAAACCTGCAGGTCCCTCGTTTTCCGTGCCCACTGCGGTGATGAACAGCAGGCAGCTGCGGAGGGCTTCGGCGTCATATACACTGGATGGTCGTTCTTGTCCTCCTCATATGGTTCAGGCACACCACGTCTTTGCATCGGAGATGTAAAACCCTAGTTTGAGCTACCCATCACACGATGTATGCGTGGGATGCTAAGCAAGGGTACCTGAACAGATCGATGACACTGCCGTTTCCTTGCCAATGTCGGCCCGGAACGTGGTTTAACAGGTCGGCACTTACGACTCATCCAATAGGCCGTAGTGTTCGTGCGCCCATAAACCTAACGGAATGATCCACTTGGCCGGACGGATGGAATAAATGTGTAAGTGCTTCATGATGATCCTGCTCGGTCGGAAGATTGGAATGGCTGTATTGACTCATTGCGTATTCCCCAATATGTAGCACCTCGAAATTCAAGCTTCAAGTCAACCTCAAGCATGGTCCTACTAACCAGGTATTGGAAAACCTGTAGTGTCACCCTGGATACGAGCCGTTCTTTGGGTAAATACTAAACATTGAACAAAGGATGTGATAGGGCCATCAAGCCGTACAGGATTTACAGCACGTCAGCCCGACTCAAGCACACGGACTAATTATATGATAGCAAATACCTCCGTCTGAATGAATGACACAGTCGGTTTTCCACGAGATGGCCGACATCTCACTGACCGGATGTGATGCTGTGGGAAGGACAAGGAGCACAGCCACTTGATGCTTAATCACCACGCCTTAGAGTCGACCGCCCCTGGGCATTGTGGCATGGTCCACTCTGCCTTGAGGGGTATGTACAGATCCAACAGTCCACATCATACCACCATGTAACATTCGCCTACCGAATGCGTCCATGCCCAGGCCCACCCGGAGGTTTTCGTTAGACATCGATTGGATTTTTTTTGGCGTAGTTGGTTTCTGGACCAGGTAAGCCAACCCCGTTCCACATTGTAGCAACACTTGTTACAAACTTGCAAGGCATCAAGTGACTCATTATCACTTTGGATCCTTCTGCTTTCCCTCTGTGGCCTTGGCAGCCACGTTGTAACAGGTGCCTTACTGTTCGCAGCAGGGTATAAAATACCTCGCTTTTTCTTACCAGAGAAAAGCAGGTCCAGAAATGTGGCGGCCTGAACAATGTTTTGATGTACGTGAAATGCCGTGAACATCCTCAAGGCATCCACAACAAAAATGTCAATTCCGAGGATTGATGGTATACCCTCTGCCCATGCCCTGGGAGATGACAAAGCGATCCGACTACCTATGAGCTTAGCGCTCTAAGTGTACCCCTTATTTTATGATTATGGTGGGTTTAAATACAGTCGGCCGGTAAGGAACATTACTACCCGCCCCCCCCCATCCCCCATAGACAGCCTTGGCGCATACTCGAAATTGCAGCGCTGAACGTCGCGAGAGTTCACCTAACCCTTGATAATCCGTTATCAGCAGGTTGCAACATGACCGCACAGTGGTTCCGGTCAGTCTTTCTTGTCGGTAACCCATCGGGAGCCTACATATGTCCCTTCGGGGATGGATGCACACTACCTCTGGAGAATACAACCGCTTCTATTTACGCCCACCTTCGCCTGCATGGTCACGTTTACAAGCATCGTGACCGTGCTCCATGCCCCTGGCCGGGGTGTCGGAAGGAGACACGCTGGGGAAACGTCGCTCGACACGTCATAGAGCGTCACTTGCGGGTAAAATCGCAATGTATGTGGTGCGGACATAGTTACGTGAGAAGCGGAGCACTTGCAGCGCACATGGATGTTTGTATCGAGGTAAGACGTCATCCATGTCTCATCCAGACTGTGGCTTAGCTGCATCCTCCGCACAGGCTTATATCAAAAACATCTTCCAAGAATACCCAAATATAACTCACTACGAGGAATAATCTGTTACTGCGTACTAGACGCCTTCTCAGTGATTGCCTGGTTGGGATTTGTAAGCGTACCACAAAAATGTAAATGTATCTTCCATAGTCTGTTAGGTGACTCTTTTCTGTACCTCACCTAGTATACTTGTTCTATGTGGCGTGGTGTGAACCTCGCAACACATGTTGGAAATTCAACTTTTGAATCGGAGACTCGTTTGGGCGTAATCTTAGGTTAACTGGTATGGTTCATGAGCATTGCCTGACATGACTTGTGCCATCGACAATATTGTTGATATCTGCCTGGGCATATATGTTCATAATCCTTGCATCCGTGTAATTAATATTGTGCGCATTACTAGTAAGTTACAAGAGCCGCGCAGGATGGCCGACATCGTCAAGTCTTGCCCCATATGTGGTGCATCCCTTCACACATTCCAGCTCTTTCATTCGCAAATCTCACCAGGCTCTTAAGCGCAGCGGCGTTCCAGGTTGATGGCAACGCTATCTATCATCGACCATAAGCTGGTTAAGTAAGTGAAGGTAATGACGTCAACCGACCCACCTCCATGCCAATGCTACGCTGTTCCTCAAAACCTATAGATCCCCGGATTTATATTCTCCGCATGCCCGATCTCGGAATATGATCGATCTATGTGGGCACGTTGACTTCATTTAAAGATCGTCCAGAAGAACCCTATGCGGTAATACGTCGGCATACTGAACTCCCCCCTCGTAGCATGCTCTGCGAACGCCGATCTCCCTCGTAGTAGAGGAGTACGCAGTTGAGTGATCGATACCCACCAAATCTTGGACGCATTGGCATCGCGGCCAAATCTGCGGGGAAGAAACCTTTACCCATATGGGCAGGGCAGCGTACTGCTGGCGTAGGCTTGGTGAATCCACATGGAAGTCGCGAAGCTCTGATACGAAGAACTACGTAGCTGGATACGACGAGCTGCATCTGACGCTCTATCCTGCCGCTGAGAGTAGATACGAGGAAGCGAATATCTTCCGCCGAGTCTCCGATAGTCCAGCCCACTAGCGTCGGAGGTGTTACTACTCCAGATACTTGACATCATCGGATATTGGTTTTCTTCCGACTATGTCTCATGGATGCCACCCTAAGAAACCGTTTGTGTGCCTCAACTCGTGGAGGTACTGATGAGATTTTGAGCGTGGCCCCTTCGACCCCGTTTTTAGGCGCCTCGGGGCGATGATACGGGTTGCGAGGGCCGATAAGTACGTTCGGCACGGGGTTATAGCAAGCAGCTATGTTATACTAAAATCGGTTTGTCCATCAACCGTAGCTGTAATCCAGTGTTCACTGTGGAGTGACCCACACCGCTCGCGAAGGCTGCAGACAATTTCGCGTACCGATATTCAATACCAGATTCACCTCAACTCGTGAATGGAATACGGGGTTCATTTTTCCCGATATGTCTGGATAGGTACACTACTTGAGTACGCATGCTGATTTCAGGAAGCAAAAGTACAACTTCTGGCTTTGACGGCCATGAATTCGATCGTAAATGTAATGTCGACATGGGCCAAGAAGATGTTTGAGGGTTCAAGACAAGTGGTAAGCTCTTATGTATGTAGGTCGAGTTAGCACGTGCAGGCGTCGGACGGTAGCGGGATGTGAGTGATTGGTAGGTCAACTCTTTCCGGGCTACAAATCATGAATCTGATCTACCCGTTTCAACGGTACTCACCAGTAACTCCTCAGGTTGCATTTAGCATGGGCGTGAGATCGGCACACGTTGAACGTAGTGTGTGGACTATGGTGTGTAGTGTTCATGAAGGTATTACATAAGCTAGAGGGCTTCCGCTTCGGGTCCGCGCTATTTCGGGACAGCTTAACCTTCGCAAGCGATGTTGTTGCCGTTTTCCATGTATCGTCGTGGACCTCAGCTTGCAATTGAAACACGCAGGAAAATGAATATTGGGGATACCTCAGTCCGGAAAGATCATTTCCGAAGCTCGGATGATGTCAACCAAGTTCTACGTTGTCAAATAGAGTACGTGCGTGAAACTGCTTCACCTAGTGACAAGTGTACGTATTACAGTATTAAATTGCCGATATAAAGCCTTAGCTGGTCATGACTGAGTACTGAGCTTTTACTCATAGCTGCAGCCCAATTCCCTCCTTCAGCCTCCGACTGCGATGGCTCCCGTACATTCCTTTATTTTGCCAACTTTCCGACCCTCCTTTCTTTCTCTTAGTTTGATTTTTGTCCTGCTATCTGCGTTTTTTTGGAGTGGCCATGCTTCTCAGGTGCCAGTTCCAGTCACCGTTCAGCAAGGAGGTGTCTCCGGAACCATTGTTCAAGACAATTTTCTCGGGATATCTTTCGAACTGTATCCTTTTAATACGCTATGTGTGTTCCCTTTTCTTCTACTGCTGCAGTTTGACTGAGGGAACCACGTTCAGGGGGGGAATCACCGCAACAGATGCCAACAGCTATGGAAAATTACTTGTCAAACCTGCGCGCCCGCATCCACTTGCCCCTCCGAATCCGCATTGGTGGAAATAGCATGGATAGTGCCGTCTATGTTCCTACTCAAACTGAGATGATTATTGTCACTGGTGATCCTGCTGTCGACCCGGACGATGTCCCCGTCGATTTTGGGCCCATGCTTTTCACGGTATTGGACGCTATGGAGAATGTGGTCGGTCAAATGGAGTTTATCGTCGGATTGAGCATGCGGAGCTCCAACGACACAAATGCCGTCGAAGTTGCTAGGGATACAAGGAAAATACTTGGATATAGGCTTGACGCGATGTTGTTGGGCAATGTGGGTGGTTTAACTTGCGCATTGTAACGGTGCTATGGTGAACCTTTCGCTTTCTAGGAACCCGATCTGTATGCCACCAATGGAGTACACCCGGGGTACACCATACCGGAATATGTATGTTGCACCCGTCTCAAGCGATTCAAGCTTTGTTATATTCCTTATTCTAGATCACAGATATCGGTACAATGCTTCAGGATTTGCGCAATTCACCATACGGTGATCTGGTTCCCGACACTATTGTTGGCGGACCCACTATTTGCTGTGACTGGTGAGACTACTTTTCTAGTTCTTTTTATCTTTTTTCTTCTCCTAACATATTGTTCAGGAACCTGTCGGATGTCCTCGCTGCAGGCCTTTCAACATATCCTTATAAATACTATACGGTGCAGCATTACGCCAAGAGTATCTGTAGCGGTCCAAATGCAAGCAACCAGAATATTACCTACTTCGTTTCGCACGTGAACGGTAATTTAGCGAATAATCGCCGACGATAGTGGCGCTGACGGTTATACGTGATAGTTCCGACGTACACTAACTGGCAAAAACAGGGGGTGCAAATGGCAAGCGATGCAGCGATTCCGGTTCTCGTTACTGAGTACAACACCGTCTCTTGTGGGGGCTCGAATATCTCGGACACGGTAGGTTAAGTGGCTCGATGCGTGAGCTTCTGTGGATCGGTTTTCTGACACTTTCGGTCCCGCCTTGAAATAGTTCGCGGCGACCTTGTGGGCCATCGACGCCGGGCTGAACTTTGCTTCGTCAGGCATGAGCGGCGCTTACATTCATACACGGGAGTACGGCATCCTTTATAACCTCTTCGATCCCCCGTCGCCGGAGACATCGACCGAGCCCAACTGGCGCACAGGCTCACCGTACTATGCGGCACTTTTCCTCTCGGAGACGTTCATCGCAGGTGGAAGTGTAGTCGTCGATCTCAATCTCGACAATTCTATCTACGACCCTGCAGCTACAGTTGCTGGGTACGCAATTTACGACAGGGCCGGGATGAAAGCCAAGAGACTCGTTTTCTTTAACTATTATCGTGCCGACGATGCAGGTTCAGAATCAGCAGCTCGCAACTTCACGCTGGAAGGTGGCTTGGCCACTACTGCGGGGGTCCGGGTCCTCGCTGCTCCAAGCATCTACGAACGCACGGATATCAGCTGGGCTGGCCAGACGGTTGGGCTGAATGGAGAACTGGATGGTACTCAGACCACCAATTATTACTATAACTGTGCGATGGGGTGCAACATTACTGTGCCTGGGCCGGGGGCTGCTCTTGTTCTGCTCGATGACGTCCCTGACGACTCGGAGTTCTTTATTGGGAGCTCGACTGTAGCACCACTAAGTTAGATTCTGGCACTGTCGACATCGTTTGCACATTTGTCCTTTTTTTGGCCTGCCGCGGGTTTACTGAAATTACATTACAGCACGTAATCATCCTGGCATTCAGATTTGACACGTTAACGATTGGGTTAGAAATAGCCCCCCACCTGTTGGAGTCTCCCATCGAGAGTTGGGTCCCCGATCAAATTTCATGGTAATCTTCACTTATGTACTGAACGACTGAAACTCTTGCTTGAGTCATACCACTTTGGAGAGCTTCTGTGTCCATAACGACGTCAAGATGTTGCTCAGGTTCCATCGCATCCCTGCTGGACGATTGAAGGACGACATTCTAATCGGCCTCCACGTACAGCCCGTGTCACTTCTTCCTGCCATATTTCGTTGCACTCCACTATATCTCGGCCTTCAATCCTAGGAGGAATGCTTGCCGAGGCACCTTGGATAGCCTTGGACAGAACCTCGTGAAGCTCTTCGTATACGAGTAACACCGGATAGGAATTAAGGTCGATGATGTGTCCGCTTGAAAGATCACGTCTGGATGGCAAATCGGAAACATCTATCAGTAATCCAGAATTCCATACAACCTTGTCTGGGTAGCCGCGCATAAGGCACTTACAATCCTTCTGCGATTTGCGAAAGGTCTACTTCGGTCGGATGATTTCCTCCCAGAGGCCGCGGTTGTAAATAATACACCAGCCCTTCGGGCAATCCAAGACGCGGACACTGAATAGCATCTAAATTGGTTTACGAACTCTGACAGAGGGTTTTCGGTTTCCCAGATTCGTATGACATGAAATGTGAAGTATTTGTGGGAGGTGTTTTTCAGCATAAGCGTATTCTTCTCCCACAGAACCTTCAAACCAACTCATGCATAGTGACCATTCCAAATGAAGTAGTTCTCGGCCGTAAGGGAGGATACTACTCCGGTCTTTGCGGTCGAGGAGGATCGGGAGCAAATACGCTCGCGCGCTTCTGCCCGAAACTGAAACGAGCCAGTCTCTATCGGATGGTCAATACTCCAACGGGAATTGTGCACGGCAGCCATCGAGTCTCGAGCCCGTTTGGATGATTTGGTTATGAGAGAAACTATCGAACCTGTGGTCGTGCCCTTGTCTGTTTTCCCCTGGCGACTGATATTGGCTCGATTAAATGATTCGCGCCGGGGGCTCGTTCAATTACGGACATGGCGTTGCCCTGTTTGGTTCCGTGAGTGTCGAAAATTAGCACAGCCACACAGTCCAACACGGGTGGCAGCGTTGAACGTTGCTGGATACCCCGCGTGTGGCCGTTCAGATTGACTGGCACTGGGCAGTGCTGAAGTTTTTCTGGACTGTTCTGTTGGTCGGGACATGTTTTTGGCGCTCTCTTGGACTGGTTTCTTTTCGTAACCTCCACTCAACCGACCGCATCGGCCACACTTGCGACCGTCTCTTCCGATTAACACATAATGCAAGCTCAGGACCAAAGCCCCCGTCGCGCTGTCAGACGTCAAGACACCTTTGACCTTCGCGACCAGATCATGGCGAACGACCACACCAGTTCCAACATGCACGCTCATGCTGACGCAACGCACGGCATCGCGTATGCTGGGGGAGCGTCCGACGAGGAGCACTCCGTCCTTGAAGACGATTCGGACGGCGAGGACCGCGAGATGGACTACATGGACGAGGAGGACGATGCTTCATCATCCCTTTCCATCCCAAACGAGTCCATCGACTTTGATTTGGTGTATTCCCTGCACACTTTCCAGGCCACTGTTGAGGGTCAGGCTAGCGTCGTCAAGGGCGACTCCCTCTTCCTAATGGACGATTCAAACAGCTACTGGTGGCTCGTCCGCGTGCTTAAGACACAGGATGTGGGATACATACCTGCAGAGAACATTGAGACACCGTTCGAGCGCCTGGCGCGCCTCAACAAACATCGTAATGTTGATGTACGTCACCTCCCTTTGTCCTTGTCTACTCAGCAACAAATAGTAACCGTTCAAACGTAGCTCGCACAACCTACCCCACAAGAAGTCCAGAAGGATGTCGAGCGTGTGCGCAACAACCTTTCTTCGCGCGCGGGTTCTCACCATTCACCCTCCCCCATCCTCGGTGTTCCTGCAGCCATGGCCTCATGTCCTGGCACGAAGTCTGTTATGTTCACACCAGCGTTGTCTGTGCACAGATATCCCCCTGCGGTCTGGAACGAGGAAGAAGAGGAGGAGGAAGATATAGAATGGGACGATGGTGCATATGAAGAAGAAGATTCAGAGCTTGCCGAGGAAATTAGTATTCGCCAGAGGCAGAGCCAGATACAAGACGACACCCAACATATGGATTTAATCCACATGGAGCCAGATGACGGCATGGGTTGGGACGACAGTGTCGCGGACGAAATACAAGCAGGCCGCGCTCAGAAATTGAAAGAGCAGCAGTTGCTTATGGTTCCCGATGCTTCACTTTCGGGCACTGTGGATAGGCAGCAACAACAGGCACAAGAGATACTTATGGCACAGCAACGTCAGCGGGAGCAGGAGCAGCAATTCCTTGCACAACAAGCTCAAGCACTGCGGCATCAGTCGTCGAAAGATCGCTTGGCCGCCGATGCCGCCCGCAACTTGTCTCCGTCTTCACCTAGCAAAGCCGTCGATCCTGCAGAAGCTACTGGGACGAGGAAGCTTTCTGCGACACCCTCCATTGCGCGCGAGGAGCAACCGAGGCAGGGTCCCTTGTTCCCAAGTGCTATCATGCAACAACAAGAGGAGGAACGCAAACGCACACGAGAAGAACTCGAGGCATTAGAAGAAGCCTCCAAGAAGAAGCACAAAGGAAAGGACAAGGGTGGTGCAAGTCCTGTCCCCGCATCCGCATCCAACCAACCTGTGAAGCCCTCATCTGGGGGTAAACTGCGGAAAGAGCACCGTGATGCCACCGACGACGAAGGTAAGGAGAAGAAGAAGAAGGGTGGTGTATTCAGCTTGTTTGGGCGAAAGAAGGGCAAGGATAAGGACAAGGTATCCATTGAGAGCACTTCTTCGGACACCCTCCGCGGATCGCAAGAGTCCGGCCGTTCCTCAGGCCTGCAGCCTGGCGTGACTGTGGATCAGGCAGCTGCAACTGTAGTGATGCAGCAGCCTCAGCCATCCCTCCGCACTTCTTCTGATACCAAGACCCTACCGCGACAGCAGCAACGCCCAACACCACAAGCGGCCCCTCATCAGCTGCAAGCACAAGTCTCCCAACACGCATCTCAATTACGCCAGCGCGACCAACAACAGCAGGCACTGTACCAACAATACCTCAATCGTTCACCATCTTCACCTCCAGAAGCTCCATCCTATGGTTTGCAGTCCGCACCTGTTGTACTGGGCAACTCAAATGTATACAACGGTCCCGCTACTTCGGCTACTGGCTTGGGCCTCGGCCTTCCGTCGTCTCGGCCGCGTCCTGGATCTTTGGTCCTCACTGCTACGGCAGATGGTCAAGGAGTCGGCGTTCCCGAGCTCAGTGTCATGCGGCTTTTCGCAGGTAAAAATGTCCAAACGGAGGCAACTTTCAAAACCGTTCTGCTCAACGCCTCCACTACGACTGCCGAGCTGGTGCGACAGGCGATCCAGCGCTTCCGATTGCACGTGGGCGAGAGCGAAGCAGACTACTATCTCACTATTAAACAGGTTGAAGGCTCCTCTGCAGTGTTGTTACCAGATGAAAAACCCCTCCGTGTCTTTGAGTCTCTTGTCGAAGCAGCTAATATGGAGTTGCCGAAAGTAAAACGGAGCAGCGTCGGCAGTATTAGTTCCGTGTCGTCCAACCTCTCGATGCATCCCGCCATCCGCAAGTTATCCATGAACGACTTCACTGATGACTCAGCTGTGAAGTTATACCTCAATAAGCGCCGTAACGGGGAAGAGGGTTCGCTACTCGAGGAAGGCGACGAGACGATGATTGCTGAATCAACCCGTGACTCAGCAGAGCTGATGACGTCTTCCGGCGTCAATGTCACCCCGGACCGATTTAGCTCGCCAAATTATCGTTTCGCTCTGCAACTGGTCATTTACCCTGAAGATCTTCCGGATGATATGGTTTTCGACCCGCTAACGGAAGCCATCGTGTTCAAGAACACACTTCTTGAACGGACGTCTACTACATCCATTACTTCCGGCGTATCGCTGAGCTACCGACGGAAAGTCTTCACGTTCCCTAAGAACGTGACCGTTGCGGAAGTTATCGAGCTCGGGTTAGAGCGTTTCGGTATCGTTGATGGTGTGGTAGATGGAGGGGACGAAGTGGAGGACAAGTTGACCAATAGACGTAGTTCTACGAAAGTTCGCTACTGGTTGACTGCATCTGTGCGAGGTCAAGGTGAATCCTCTTCGCTTCGTGTGCCTATTCTGTTCAGGCTGACTCGCGGTTGTGCAGAGCGCGAACTTTCACCGTCAAGCAGAGTGGTGGACGCGTACACTCGACCCCCAGTGTTCAAGCGTGTACTGGAAGGAAAGCGAAGGTCTATGGATTCCGCGCAACTACTAGGAAGTATCGAGGATGTCAGCCCTGAAGATCCCGTTTTTATCCTTCGTCGCGCCATCTCTTACCGCACATCGACTTCGCGAAACCGCCTGTCCGCTCCCCTCGACGAGATCGCACTCCAGCATCTACGCGATTCTATTTCCGGATCAAGCGTTAGCTCCGACCCCGGCAACGCATCGTCGGAGGATGTCAAGCCCAAGCAGCTTTCTCGTCAGGAGATTATTGCTGCACAAAGGGCTGCGTCACGGGAGAAGCAACGCGCTATATTGTCAACCCAGGCGAATGCTCTCCGTGGAGTTGACGTGCTTCTTCCTGGAAATGCGATGATTCGTAGTTCGCGGTACGACTCCAATGAGAAGATGCGGTATTCGTACGTTCAAGACGGCGAGTCATATGACATCAGCGACATCGTCGAGGAGGAACTGCGCGAGACAAGCGGCGCGCACAAGAATGACCTTTTAGAAGGCGCGTTCGATCGCACCAAAAATGGAATGCACGAAAAGATCGATCGAGTGTTGACTAAAATTAAGGATGGGCGGCTCCAGTCACAAATCTCAACTTCGCAGTCGACTTCCAGCCAGACTGACAGTTTGGACTCTGCACGGTCCGCTTCATCGGCGTCTGAATATTCCGTTGATGATGGGCCAACGCTTCGTAGTGATGGTCGTACACCAACCCCGCTCGCTGGAGGGAGGAGGACGACCTCCCCGATTGCTGATCTTGGTTCGCGTGACCCGACCCCTACAGTAGATGGCCGTTACGGCCGCGCACGCTCGGGTAGTCCTCATGTATCCACTACGGTCTCTTCTCAGGCACATGCCATTCGCCAACCGTCCATCGCATCTGTGATGTCTGACCTATCGGCATCGGCATACGCAACTCCCACTGCGCAGCTGCTCAGTCCCACGGGGAGCCCACAAAATGCTGCCATGCCCAAACTTCCAGTCAAACGACCGTATATTCCAAAAGACGACTTTGGCGTGTCGCAGATGATGGCTATTATCGAGATTGCGAGCAGGACCCACCGTCCTATCGAACCCCCTCTGCACCCGGTGGATGAATTCCTCTTCGGGAAATCAGTTGAAGTCCAGTCTCTGCATCCCGACATTAGAGAAATTTATTCGGGAGCGTTCCAACAGTTGGACGAAATGGACAAGGTAGGTTTCTCTCCTGGCTCCGTTGTGAACACGACCGCTCAGCGTGATTATTAAACAGACTCTAGACGAATATCTTCAACATGCACTGACCGTTTGAAACACATTGCATTTTCTATCTCTAAATCTGGTTTTTCAAGTCTTGGTACTCACATATTATCTAGTATTTGCTTTTCTGTACGTCCGTCCTTATGCTTGAACAAAATACATAAATTATACGACTGCGTCAACTGTGTGCTAGCCAACGATAATATGTGTATTATGCATGCAGCCCGAGGCCAATGGATAGTGTTCAGCCTCTGAGTAAGCTGTATCTAACAAATGAGGTTTATGTGCTATTTGTAGGGTTCATGCAAGAGGTGGGTGTCCGTCAAATGCTGAACACTCACCTGTTGTATATTCTGTCTTTCATATTATACTTTCATCTGCATCCCACTTAGTATTATGGTGCACATTTGGCTATATTACATAATCACATTCATTTTCATACTCGAGTAGCATACTCACACCTCAGTTGGCTACTTAACCCAACTGAGGTGAGCACTGTCTACATCCTGTGTTTACACTCAGCTAATAGTCCTGTAGTATATATTCTACAGGTTATGAGCCCTGTTGCTCACTAACTGGGAACCCATAGCAAAATGTTGTTCACATCCAAGCTTGGAGTGTTACACCTGCATCAGGGGTCTTTCCTTTTTCAACTTGTCATGGTCACGTGCATCACATGCCTTGTTGCATCTCTCATAATCATTGCCATCCTAGGGGTTCATATGCTGTGAGGCTCCTTTGGATCTCCAGCTGTCAAGGTATTTCCAATACCTGTTGAGACCACACCTCCTGTTTGATCCAGTGTTCCACTGCCCTCTCTGATGGATGACATGTTATGTTCTTACTTTCTGACTCCTTTCTGACTCGTTTATGTTGCTCAGATGTTGTACTATAGCTCCAGTGTCTGGCTCCTCACCGTGCATTGATTGCACAGCTGTTATAACCTTTGTTTCCTTGTCTATCCCCATCATATGACACCATATGACTCCACTTGACTTATTTATTTGACTGATGCTTTTGTTGATTACTGTGGATACATGTCGCAATGTGTCATGTCATGACTGGTACAGTACTCATGCTTAGGAGTATTTAGTCTTGTGTACTTTACCCTGTATCCCCAGTTTTTCAATAGCTTGCAACTCAGCTTCATCCCTTTGCTTTCATCCTTGTTCCCTCCTCCATACACCACCCTAGCAGATGCCAGAAGGAGTGAACCTCTGCTGGACTTCAGCAATAACTGAGCCATAGGGGTTATGACATGTTTGGCCTGTAGACTCCCCCTTGTGCACTTCATGCCTAGTCCATTTGATGAAGTCACTGTGCTCAGGCATAACAAAATTGAAAAACTTGTGCAGCTTTTGGGACTCATCGACCCCTTTGTGCAAAAGTCTACTTGTCCCTGGTTACTGAACTTCAACAAACCACTCTATACTCTGACAACAGGCTTGTCAGTTTCCCTATGTGTAAAGACTGACTTGCCTCCCTCTCTTGCTAATTGACCAAGATCGAGAAGCACCCTATTACTCTCAATCACATCTACCATTCTACAGGCAGCCACTAGGCTTTAATAGATTGCCTCCCTAGTTTGGATTCCACTCTCATGCTGACAGGTTTCTTTCAAGAAATAATCTCATTCACTGAGAACTATCAAAATGAGAATTGAATGCTGGACGGTACCATCTACTATACTGACACCTTTCAAAGGTTTGTTGAAAGGCTCAAGGCAACATTTGAATCTGGCGACCAAACCGTGCTAGCAATCTTATGGCTTTTGGACATTACCCAAGGCAAATGAGAATTAGAGGCTTACATTGCCAAGTTCACTGGACTTGTAAACAAGGCTCAACTCAAGGAAGAATCACATGAAGCAGGGATCTTCTTTGGAAAAGGATTGAACAAGGAGTATCGCAATTGGGTCCTTAATTCTGGGCATGCCCCTTCCATGGTCATTGAGTGGATACAGTGTGTGGGAGAAGCCAGGACCACAATCACTACAAAGCACATCCTAGAAGGGAAGGAATCTTGGTATGAATGGAGATTCATTCATTACCATGGAGGTTCCCAAGATCCTGATGTGATGGATGTCAACAAACACAAATGGAGCGTTAGATGTTCCAGTTCAGAAATTAAATGCTTCAATTGTGGAGCCAAAGGTCACATCAAGTGTGACTGTAAAGTCAAGGTCAAGACTCAACTTTCCAATGTCTGTATAGTGGTAGCTGAAGACGGCACAAAGACTGCATATGTTGGAGATCATGAGGCTAATGCAGAGGAGTGGAAGGTGTTGGGTTTTTAAAGGGGACTGATGAATCTCCTGATCAGTCAGTCCCATTTCAATTTTGTCTGCTAAATGTACTCCTATAGATGATGAATCAAATATGTGAATTTGTTCTCCTCTCAGGTTGGTAATTTTGCCAGACTACAAAGCAGGAATATGGGCCTGTATTGACTTGGGCACAGAAGTCTCCCTCATCTCAGAGAAGATGGTCCAGAAACTCAAGATCCTGATGTATTGGGTGGAAAAGAAGTTCAAGACCACCTCATTCACTGGAAAGGATGAAGAATGGGTAACCTGCAAGGTAACCCTCAAGATGGAGATCAAGGAGCGCATTGTGTGAGTCAAGTGTTACATTGGCCCATTGGTAGGGAAGGAACACATCCTTCTCGGAATGCTGTTTCTCAAGCAGTTCAAACAAAGAATGAACTGGGAGACTGGAAAAATTACTTGCTGGGATGACAGTGCAGAGGAAACTCTGGATACCCCCCAGAAGTCAGTAAAACCAGATTTGGGTGAAACCCCTGAAGTGAAAATTAATAACACAACTTTGTCTACAGAGCTTGAAGCTGCCCTGGCAGCAGGTAAGGAGGAGGTCAAACTCCTGGAGGTCTATAGGGAGTTTGCCAAGGTGTTCACTGAGGATGACATCCCACTTCCCACACATTGGCCAGGGTTGGATCATGAAATCAGACTTCGAGAAGACTTCAAGCCCAAGAAGGCAACAGTATACCTGATGTCTCCTGATGAACTTAAAGTTTTAGACAAGTTCTTGGATGAAAACCTCAAGTGCAAGAAGATTCGACCATCAACTTCACCTCAAGTGGCACTGGTGTTCTTTGTCACAAAGAAAGATGGGAAAAAGTGGCTAATTCAAGACTACCACTATCTGAATTCATACACCATCCCAGATGCACACCCCTTGCCTAACACACAGGCATTGTTTGATGAGCTTGTCAAATCCAAGTATTATGCTAAGTTTGACATTTGTTGGGGGTTCACTAACCTTAGGGTAAAAGAAGGTGATGAATGGAAAGGAGCATTTATTACACCAAGAGGGTTGTTTGAACCCATGGTAATGTTCTTTGGTCAATGCAACTCACTGCCTTCTTTCCAAAGATACATGGACAAAACCTTCAAATCTCAAAGAGGAAAACAGGTAGGCTATATGGATGACATTGCAATCCATGCCAAAACCAAGGAAGAACTTTGGACTTGGGTTTGTGAGTTCCTGAAGATCTGTGAAAAAGAAGGTCTACAGCTCAAGATCAGCAAATGTTGCTTTGAGGCTGAAGAAATCAAATTCCTGGGAATGATTATTGGAAAAGGGCACATGGAGACTTTGCCAATGAAGACTGATGCCATCAGTACCTGGGAAGCCCCTGACAACCTTACCAGGCTTCACAGATTCTTAGGATTTTGCAACTTTTATTGCAAATTTATCCCTTCCTTCTCAAGCATCACTCAACCCCTTCACAATCTCACAAAGGAAGGGGTCTCCTACCAGTGGACCACTGAATGTGATGCTGCATTTGAAAAGTTAAAGTCTTTGTTATGCTTCTCTCTGGTCCTCACTATCCCTGACTTCTCAAAGCCATTTGCCTTGTTCACAGATGCTTTGAAGCTTGGCACTGGTGCTGTCCTTGCCAAAAAGGAGCTGACAATGAGTGGCATCCTTGTTCCTACCTCTCACAGTCCCTGGTCAGAGCTGAACAGTGCTACCAGGTCTATGACTTGGAAATGCTAGCCATCATCCAGGCCCTCAAGGCCTTCTGCCCTTACTTGCTATCCCCAGTGGAACCTACTGTGGTCTTTACAGATCACAAAAACTTGGAGTACTACTGTGAGCCTCAACAGCTCACTCCTCATCAGGCCCAGTGGGCCACCACAATCCAGTCTTACCCCATCTGGTTCTCTTGGCAGGCAGGCTGCTTGCAGGTACTGGCTGACACCTTGTCCTGCAAGGGGACACTCAAGGAGCCTGCCCCCATTGCTGTGGTCCTTCCCCTGGACCTCTGGCTTTTGGAGGGGGTGGATCCACAAATTTGACTTGTTTCCCCCATGTTTTCCATTACAAAACTACAAAAACAGTTAAAAATCAATTGTCTAACACAAATTGGACATCTTCCTGCTTGGATTCAGTGTTCGAAAAATAACTCAAAGCTGTATTCTCACCCAACTGAGGAAAAGTCAAAGAAGAATCAGCTGCCAACACTCACCCTTTGAGGAACCCAGACAAAGGAGTGTGGGGAGTATATGCTATATCTGCAGAACTGTATGAGTGCATCAAGAATGATACACCAAGGACTCTACAGGACTGGAACCAAAGGATAACATCATGATCACAGAAGACAGAACAAAATTGTTTGGAACCACACATCTCTACATCCCACCTGAAGATTGCTATCATTGCATGCAGTTGTATCATGACCACAGGTCAGCTGGCCACCCTGGACAAAAAGCAATGTTTGCAAAGATGCAGAAAGAGGTTTGGTGGGAAGGTATGAGCAAAGACATATGAACTTATGTTGCAGGGTGCCCTACATGTCAGACCACCAAAGTGGTGACTCACCCACCTACACCACCCATAGTCCCTCATGATATGCCCAAGACCACATTCCCATTCCAACAAATATCAATAGATCTTATCACAGATCTCCCAGTATTGGGAGAACAAAAATACAACTTGATTCTCATGGTTGTTGATCAGGGGCTTACAAAGGCTGCCCTGTTTGTTCCATGTCATAAAACAATAGACTCTGTTGGGATCACCCAACTCTTCCATCAATTCATATATTCCCATTTTGGCATACTGGAGTCAGTAATCTCAGATTGCAGACACAGTTCACCTCTTCATTTATGAAGGAACTCTACAAGGTGATAGGGGTAACCCCCAAACTTT